TTTTTTGTTTTGGAGGGGGCGTCCCCCGGGGGGGGGGGGGGGGGGGGGGGGGGGGGGGCAAATTCCCCCCCCCCCCCCCCCGGAATTTGGATATTTTACACAACTCCACCTGCTCCCTCGGTAGCTTCGCCCCCTCGTGTCCGCTGACTGCCCCCCCCCCCCCCCCTGGCATTTTGCTTAGGCTACGGCCCTGTTGATGGTATGGAAACACATGTCAAAATCTGTTTTGAAACGTTGTTGCACTGTGGAAAGGCTGGATGTCTACCAGGCATGATGAGAGAAAAAAGACTGTTGAAGAGATGACGGAAAAAACACAGTTCCAATCAGCCCCCCCACCTCCCCACCCCAAAATATACCCCCTACCCTGTTACTTTCAGTTTTCAAATATTTTTTTTACATCTTTATATACTTTCTTGTTCACCTTTGTTGAAATTGTTTACATAAAATGTGTTTGTAATTACCTGTGGTCATTTTAGAATTTTAATCAAGTTCAATAAATTAAGCCTATTAAAATACAATGAGATAATCTACCATGCATCTTGCATCTTGCAGTCAACAACTTGCCGCGTTTTCATTGGCTTACTCCAAGGTTACATGACTTTCAGTTTTGACTTAGTACTACAGACAGCGGGGGAAAACATTTGGAATTTGTTATAAAGAAATTAATAAAATATCAAAAGGATTATGTAGCTAATGTGATGTTCCATCATTATAAATAATTTCGTTATCTCAATGGAAATAAAAACTTGAAGACTACTTCAGTCCCTTTTCATTGTCCACGGTCATTCTGTCAGATTTTTACATGTACTTTTTATACTTGTTCTTCCTGTTTGAAATTTGTAATTTTCTTGCTCACATGAAATCACAATTTCTCATGATAGGGATTATAAGTACAAAATTGTAGCCTTAGAGTTAGCCAATGAAAACGCGGCAAGTTATTGGCTGCAAGATGCATGGTAAAACTCGAAAAAGACCACAGGTAATGCATTTCTAAATTTCCATTTGAAAGCATTTTTTCCATCAAAAAGCAATTTTTTTTATTTGACATCGATTAACAAGAAAATTTTGAATAATTGTGAAAACTGCTTGTAAAGTGAAAGGTTTAGGGTGGGAGTTGCACTACAAAATATTTTGCCAATGCACGACACAACGAAAAGACACAATCTTTGAATTTGTACTTTATTCTAGTAGGCAATTAGGTATTTTTGTAGTATACCCCCACCCTGTAACTTCCTGAAACTTTCATTTTTCAAACATTTTTTACATTTTCTTTTTACCTATGTCAAAGCTGTTGAAATAAAATGTCTTTATTAATCCTGTTTAAATGTTTTTATTAATACACCACATTGAAATACAGGTTGTACAATGTGAAAACTTACAATGTACCCGCAGTCAATAACTTGCTGCGTTTTCGTCGCCTAACTCTACCTTATTTAATGTGAACATAGGATTGATACATTGTATACTTGGACTTTCTCTGTGAAATTATTATTAATTACAATTATTAATTATTATAATTATTATGAGCTACTTGTTGTTTATGATATTTATGATATTCTTCTTTAGATGAGCATATACTAGACTACTGTCAAAAAGAAGTTCCCTATAAAATCATTCCACAGTTGCTAGCTAAGTACCACAATGTAGAGATTAGGTAAGACTTTGGGTAAAGCTAATGATAAATATGTATATCCCGCTATACTGCAGCTTTAAGTAAGAGGGAGCTTGTAATGTTTGGGTAAAGGAAATTAAGAGGATAAAAAATCTTTGTTTCTGCCAAAGAATTAATTTTCCTGGAGTAAACAATAATTTTCATACTTACTAATGTTTAATGAATGTATTTTTACATTAAAAGTTAGTCCCTGTTTTTTATTCAAAAAAGTTTGTTTTGTTTTTTTTTAAGACATTGTAACAGAACATAGCCATCAATGGAGATCATGTGGTCTAAAAACAAGCTCAGATAAAAGAATAATAGATCTAATTGCAGTTTTTTTTTTTTGATAACACATAATATATATTATTTCTATGAGTTATTCACAATGTTTTTATTGTGAAATTTAGATCTCACACGAATAGTCATTATCCCTTAAAATTTGTCTGGTTAAGTTTTATTTGTTTTTGTATTTTTATAATTATATATATATATATTAAAAAAACATCAACCATAAAGTATTTTTTTAAAGTTCTTAAAGTACCACTTTTGTTAATTAAAATATGACCTCTGCCCATTTCTTATATATTTTTAGTTATAATGCTGTTAAAAAAAGAGCTAAGAAGCTTGGCATCAACAAAAGGGGACCTGGAACAACTTCAGAAGCAGAGGTCATTGCAGCACTGCAGGTTTAGCATTTTAAAATTTATACTATTGTCTACTCAATATGTATGTTCCGTTAGAAATTAAAGTGCTGTTTATGTTTGTGTATGTATGTTTAACCTGTGCGGCTTGGGGTCAAAATGATATATCACTTTCATCGATAACAACACCTAGCTAGTTATTAAGTTGTGCTTCTGTGTATGCTATTTATGTTTTAGGATGAACTGACATCTGCCTCATCACTTGTAGGCTACAGGGAGATGACCTCTATTCTCCGCAAAAAAGGTTTGATTGTTAGAAGGTAAGAATTTATTAAAACATATCAGTATGTACTTGATGTTCAGGGTTCTCCCTATGCGATCTTTTTTGCTGATACGCTTCTTTTTTGCCAACACAATTCTTTTAACTCTGCTACCCTTGAAGAGAGTGTGTGCCCAATGCCTTTAATTAATGCCTTTAATCTTGACAACTGTGAAGTAAACAACTTGTGTGCATACTTGATTCAAGTTGAATCTCTTGTGTGCACATTAAGTTGTTTTATTTTATTCTGCCTGGCACCTGGGCTATGTTGTTACGATTCAATGAGATGCCACCTTCATTACTCTGAAGTGTAAAATAATATCGCTACCGGAATAATTGTGCCCCCCAGAAAGCTTTCAGAAATTTATATTAGTGCCTAGCGGAATAATTGTATATTTTTTTCCGGGAGTACTGTTCCTTATAATTTGCCATTTTGATAGCATTGTTTGATGCATAGTTTGCTTGCTCCATTGTTTCTGTGAGCTTTCTGAGATACTTTTCTTTTCCTGCTTTTCTCCTGTTCTCAGAGAGCGTCATTTTCTAATTCCAGTGAATCGATTCTTTTACCCCTCTTCTCCAACATCCAATTCATGCTTGTCTTTTAATTTCTCTATATTTGTGCCAAATTTTTCCTTGAATTTAAGTAAGATTTTAGTGACAGTTTCAGGGACCATTTCTTCCACAATGTCTTTTAGATCATTTGTTTTTACATTTTTTTTTATTTCACATTCTATTTAGTCTAGCTTTACAAAAATTAAAGAAGTTTCTTCTGTGCTTGTGTTACAAACTTTACTGGCTGACTGGTGGATTTCTTGTCAGCTGTGGTTTTCATTCTGTCTCTCATAGAACTTTTTGAATCTTTGTTTATCTCAAAGTATTTTGATTCATTTTTTATATTTTTGATATTTATTGTTATATATATATGTATGTATAGAGATAGAAATGTATTTTCGGGGCATTAAGGCTGACGTGGGACTATTGTTTTCCAGTGAGCAGTACTCACGGATGCACCCGTATTGAAGCACATTTGTCATGATCTGTCAGTTGTTTAGTTGTAGTATATGTTATGATGAATGTCAGATACAGCTTGATAACAAAATCCAAGTCATCTAATCAGCTTTCACTCGCAGGAGACACAAATTTATGTATCCATATATTTTATATTTCTTACTGATTGTTAGAATTTGTCAGATAACTAAGATTTAGTTTTATAGCTCTAAACACATGCAAAATTGTCCTAAATACTCCATAGCAACTTGCATAATATCTTGCTGTTAGTGGGACTAAAGAACTTAAGATTGCATGAAATTGCACCCTTTTTGCATGAAATAATGAAAATTTTTCCTCCAAAAACAAAACACTTGCAAAAAAAATTTACGGGCTTTTTCGTTTCTTGGTGAGAACTCTTGATGTCTTGAAGTATTTGCCATCCAAAATTACCTTTTAAAATGGGCAATTTCCTTTGATAAATATACAGTAATCAGGTTTTGACCTTTGATGTTTACATGTACATTTGAATTTTTAGAAATACTGTAATGCAGCTTCTAAGAACACTGGACCCAGAGGGAGTAGAAATTCGCAGGAGGAGGAGACTGAAGCGCAAAGTTTACATAAGTCCTGGTCCTAACTATGCATGGCATGTTGATGGGTAGGGTTAGCATGTTTACAAATATTTGTTTTTACAAAGAATATTTCCTACATCACTTTCTTATTAAATATATTTCCTACTTATATACTTTTATCATAAATAAATAAAATAGTTTATTCATACATGTAGTACAAGTAAAAATACAGTAAAAATGAAAAGACTTTATGCATAATAGAGTTTATATTTCATTGATCAGTAATTTTTGACTACTTTCAATCATTTAACATATTGCTGCATGTAGGTTTTTATGCTACGATAGGGCAAATGTAGTTAAATTTAACACAAGCTATTGTAAATGATATTTGAAAAATAGATACATTTGTTATTAAGATGGTGTTATTTCTATAAAAATTGAGTTGTATGAATGGTATACATACATGTACCAGTTTTCAAGTGCTTTTAATACCCCTCTTTAAATATCATATAACATTTCTTCACAGGAATGACAAATTAAAGCCATTTGGTTTTGCAGTCCATGGTGCCATAGATGGGTTTGTTATTAACATTTGTTGTTGACAATTGTGTTTTAAAAACAGGGGCGGATTTAGACTGTCTTCTGGGTCTTCCGGAAGACGGTCAGATTTCCAAGTTTACATTAAAGGCTAACTCATTTTTTTGTCAGAAGACGGTGAAAAATGAAGAATGGATCAACAAAGATAATTGGGAAAGCTGTCAAAAAATATCTCTGAATCCGCCCCTGAAAAATATATACCTTAATAGAAAATAAAGCTGATAACAATATTAACAATGGTAATGCCCTTGCCCTCTTTGTAGATAATTATTTAAATGCAAACTTACAGTAGTGCTGTTTCCCTGGAGATATAATTATGTACTATAACTTATATAGTGAGAGCTTTGTATGAAAAACAATTGGCCTTTTGTGTAAAAATGTTTAATAGCTTGGTAGGTGGATCATAAATGAGAAATATCAAACACAAGCCAGAATAATCCATAACATTTGCTTATGGCAACCTGAGCGAAGGCCTTCATTAGATAGATGTGAGTAGATGTTGAAACTCACTCACCTCTAGCTGGTACAGCAGCATGAACTCTCTTTTAAATGTCACGTAAATGCCCCCCCTCCCCCCCCCCCCCAAAAAAAAAAAAGAATAACAAAAAATTCATATCCAGGGGTGTTTGGTGACGGCTGATGTAGATAACTTCTTGTATTTAATGCGGGATAAATTTAAGTTGATACTGAGGCTGTAATCTTACATTTTCTGAAATGCCAGGGCTGGACAACATGTAAAAGTGTAGTATGATTCCAATTTAATAAGCATTAATAAGCATAAATTCATATCTTATAAAATGCTAATGGTGTTATTTCATGTATAATTTTATTATATGTTCATTTCAGGTATTCTAGGATGATTCTCTGGTTAAATGTTGCTCCCTCCAACAAGGATCCCGCTATTATTTCTTATTTCTATATGCAAACCGTGGCAGCACTCCATGGTATGTACATCTGTGCATTGTTAAATTTGCATGGTAGTGTATTCTCCTGCTGGTGTGTAATCAGAGGGATTATTCTTAGCTATTTTTAGGGGGTTATTTTTGTCAAAAGAGTGTTTTGTCTTCAAATAGCTTTGGTTTGAGGCTGTCAGATGTAATATGTAATATGCTGCATTCCAAGAAAAGTATTTTAAACAAAAATAAATTCAAAATTTTTTGAACCTAAATTATTGTAACCTTTGTGCATAATCTGTGGTTTAAAAAGTATTCTAACTCATTAGGTTGTCCAAGCCTCCTACAGACAGACCCAGGAGTAGAAAATGGTATAATTGCTGCGCTTCAATGTACTTTCCGGGTTAATCATGAAGATGAGTTAGCAGGTTCCAAGAGTCATAAATATGGCAAATCTACTACTAATCAGGTGGAAATAATTCCTAACTAGTCACTGCTACCTATTAAAAAATAATCTAAATCGAGTCACTGGACCTCACAACTGAACTTATTTACTTAGCTGCTCTTGCCTGCTAGTTTACCTGAATCTATACTAAATGAAGTAAAAACAACTCAGTTACTGAACATGAACAACAAAAATACTGAAAAGATTCATTAGTACGGCTGTTAATAAATTAGGAAATGTTCCTTATATATTATTAGTGTCTAATTGTACCACCAGTGTATGTGCTGGTGGTACACATGGTTTTACTCCTGACCTGTCTTGTCCGCCAGCTCTGCCGCCAAGTCACCGTTACCATTTGTCCTACAATAGAAGAGACTGCATATCCAACCCATCTCTTGGATTTTAGACTCGTAATATATGAACTCAATCCATGTAAATTTGGGGCTTTGTGGGTGTTGGGGTCTAGGTGTGGCACTCGTTGCAATGCACCCCTGTTCATAACTTTCATAATGAAATGCTGAATAACTTGAACAAATTGTTAGAATACTTTCCACAGATGGCCTAGAGAAATTCATATGTGGAGTGTTCAAATATGCTGTTGGATTCCACTTTTAATCTTTGCCAAAGATTCTCAGAAACAGCCATAATATTAAGGGTAGCTACTACGCTAAGGGTCATCTTTCCTCTTTGTGAGTTTGGGAAAATTGGTGCATTTTCTCGGGAGTAGCAAACAAATGATGCCGAAACTGCTAACTCCCTCTAATTCAGAAACCGTAAGTGGTAGAGAGGTCTGTTTTTTTTTTTTTCAGCTTGACAAGTGCAACAGTGGCGCTGGTGTCCTTTTTATTTATAATTTATTTTGTTGTTGTTTACCATATGATTTACAAGTTGTGCGCCCATTTAGTACCTTATATCTACCAAAACTTTCTCAGAGAGGCCCATATTTACTATTGAACTTGAATTAATATACTCGCAATGTAACTGTCATCTTGAAATCTACCTTTCAACTACTTATTGCCATTCACCACACTTCACATATTTGGAATTAAACTTTTACATTTCTCCATGATTTTTTGTTAATTGTAATGGTGTAGCTGTACACAGGATCGCCTCTCTGATCCTTTAGCTGATCCTTCATGGAAAAAGCACTTCAAAGTGATCACAGTGGTTTACTGAGTTTTTTCCATGGGGGGCAACATTATGTTTAAATGTTGATACATTCAAACACACAACATGAACCTACTGACAACATTACTTCTTGTCTCATTACAGCGCATTGAAAGTTGGTGGTCATATTACAGGCGCAATCGGATAGATTGGTGGATGGACAAGTTCTATGAACTGGTGCGAAATCAACAATTCAACAAAGATAATGATACCCATGTGTAAGTACAACAATCAAACAGACATTCTAAGCATCAATGATGTTTTTTAAAACCGTGCTTTGTCTCTTTTTTGGGGGTTCTCCTGCGCGTACTCCAGCTGGTGGTACAATATCTGGAGGCGGTATCGCCTATCTGATCCTGTAGGTGTCTCTTGCTTTATAATAAATTTACTCGCATTGTAACTGCACCTCATTTCAAGAATTAATCACAGACAAATTGAATTCATTGTCACATTCACATATCATTCAGGAAATGTATCCGCTTCTGCTATATGAGCTTAATCCAGCAGGAGCTGGATGATATTAAAGAAAGATGGAATGGGCACAACATTCTACCGTCCCCAAATGCCAGGTGCCCAAATGGCAGACCAAATGTTTTGTTCCACCTTCCAGAAAACACAGGCAACAAACTAAGCAATTGCTGCTTCTTTGTTACACATATGCTATGGCAAGGATGTAAACAGGCCTATCCAACTACCAGGCTTGGCATCGAAGGATCCAAAATTCACCGGTAGATCATAACGTGCTACCCATTTTGAAGGTGTCAGGGGTGGATTTAGGCGTTCTTCTGGGTCTTCTGGAAGATAGTAAGATTTCCAAGTTTACATAGTGGGCCATCTAACTTTTTCTGTCAGAGACGGTCAAAAATTTTCATTCGGAGTCTGGCCGTTGGGTAGGCCTGGTGATGCGGCAAATTTTTATTTTGCTCAATTAAAGGATTATATGTTGTCAAGGGGTAACTACAATTTCAGGTTTAATGAATCTAAAGGTCTTTTGTGATTTCTATTATTTGACTTGTGATTCTGAACAATAAATTAAAGACAAACTGTGATTTAAGAGTGTGATCTAGATCATCGGTTAATTGTAAAAGAAGGGATAAAGATGTATTTCAAATTGTATGTTTTATTTATAACATTTCATGTTTGCCAAAATAATTGTAGGTGCAGAAGACCATTTGAAACCAATCTCTCCTGAAGCCATAAGATTTGGTTTTACAAATACTGTGCAGCAAACCATCAGTGGATGTCCTGCCTTTGACGATTACGCATCCAATATATTTCGTGCAAAGGGCTGGGCTGAGCCAGCAGACTTTCAAGAAGCACTTCACTTTTACACAGAATTACGTAGATTAGCAACAAATGAGTTGCTTGATATTTAAATTAAAACAATGATGAATTTTAATATAAATATAACTTTAGACATTTGTAAGGACAATTATTTATACCTTGCTACTCTGAATTATTTTGTCTTTACTAGAGATGTTATGATAGGTCATTGGTCACTTATTGTTATCATTCTTGTCATTTTGAAGTTATATATGAAGTTTGAATATAGTCAATTTACTCCAATAGAGTTAAATATAATATAAAGAAAAGGAAACAAACTTTATAGTATTATTCTAGTTTTATTCAATGCAACTGCAGGGTATGAGAGCAATTTATTAGCATTCCTTATGTGTATATCAGCACATCCGGATAACAATAGGGTGCTTCATGAAAAAGCATTTTTACAATTTTGTGTCCAAACATAACTGTGTATCTTAAACATTTCAATTTTTAAACCATTGTGCACGTAAAATTTGTATACAATTTCAATTTAAGCCTCTTTTTTACTAACTTATTATAAGCATGGAAAAATGGAACTGATTTATCAGTGCTTTGAAGTTTTTAATTTGTCTAATGGGAAAGCTAGACAAAATATTAGAATGAAAATTTCTATGTTACACTTCAGATAAATGTGCAATAGATTGTCTTTCATGAATAACCGAGTTCATGTCTAACTCACTTCAGTCCTTGTGTAAAAAACATGGAATAAAACTTAATCTCAATTAGGCAATTGTAAAATTCAGTTCAGGAAAACATGTTTCTAACCTTTTTCACTTCACAAGCAGGTAGGGAAATCCTGCATTTTTTCCCCAAATAACCCCAGCAACAGCACACCTCTTAGCGAAAAGCTGTGTAAAGATAGTTTCTGAAAGAACATCATGCAAATGTCCACTTATTTTAAAACTAATATTCCATTCGAGGTGAATCAAAATGTGAAACATATGGCAAAGATTTTTTTAAAATGTTCTGTTGGTAGTTTTGCTTTAGTAACTGCTTCCATAGGCTAACTCTGCCAGATTTACTGTAAGAAATTTTTGAACTCCACTACTGCTGCCTGTGCTGGAAGTAAGCGATTTACACAGCCCTGATCAATCCCTGCCTGCACGGTGATACAACAATCACCATGCCCCTTCCTATTAAAAACAACGATGGTAAATTAAGTAGCACATGGCATATCAATATATACTACCTACAGATTTAATATATACATGTATGACATATCTAACTCGCTCATGTTGTTTAAAGGCATAATAACTCTTTGTATGAGACCTATATTTCACAATAAAAACCTTGTGAATAACTCATAGAAATATAATATATTCTGTTTTACCACAAAAACAGCAGTTATAGCTTTTATTCTGATATTTGAACTTGTCTTTAGACCACGTGACCTCCATTGATGTCTATACTCTGTTAAAATCTCTTAAGAGATTTTAACAAAAAACCAAACTTTTTAGAAAAAAACCAGGGACTAACTTTGAATGTAAAAATGGATTCATTAACCATTGGTAAGCATGGGAAAATTGTTGTTTACTCCAGGAAAATTCATTTTTTGGCCGAAACGAAGAGTTATTATTGCTTTAAGTATCTTACCTAATACTTATAATCAATGTTACAAATAACATTAAAGTAGTCTCTACTTATATGCAATAACCTTGCGCGTAGATAAGAAAAATATTGCACCCTAAGGAAGTCGATTTATAACTTGTAGTGTTAATGGTCTTCACGAGTCTGACTGAAAGGGCTCACATTGGTACAAAAGCCTCGGACGATTGCCGTGCTGTCCTCTTCACTTTCATCATCTACCGTGTCCAATTCAGTCCGGCACGTGAATCGCTTTAAGTAATCTATTTCAAACCTTCCACTAGCGTTCTTCACCAGTGAGAACCTGTGCATTCAATGTGCCTTAAATAAGTAACCAGTTCGTATTGAATTTGCACTTTCAGCGAGTCGTATGTAAGAAAATATTTCGTCCCATTAAAAACGTATCCATAAATTAATTGATGAGCTGTTCATATTGTAAAATTAAGACCAGTATTTTGTTGGAAAAACAAAAACCGATGCGTCCATTTAAAAAATTGTTTATTTTTAGATTAAAAAAAAATAATAAATCGCGAACGATTTGGAGGAAGAGGGGGGGGGGGTGATAGGGATCATGGTGATGCCGTTGGTCAGTCGGCAAACTTTACCCCGGGTATATACACCGGAGTTAAAATATTTATACATATATATTTAGAGGTTCATCTTATTGATTCGGATGGTATTTTTATTGTGCGCTCTCCTATTCATGAATTTAATTTTTATGAAAAACATTTCAGTTAAATAAAGTTTATTGTAAAAAAAGAGAGAGGGAACGTGATAACAAAGATAAATACCATTGTGATGATTTTGCTAACTACAGGGCCGCTCGCAAACTTTTGACATGTGTACGCACTTTCACTACTCAAAGTTGAACGAAACTGACGAAATTTAGATAAAAGGCCATTTTTGACCTTAATATTTTCGTTGAACGCCGTTTTCATCTTCTCCTAAGATGTAGTTAACGATTTATTTTAACTAGAGTTAATGTTTATTCACTGTAACGCAGGCCAGTATCCCGGGGGGGGGGGGGGGGGGGGGGGGGGGGGTTCGAAAGAACCGCCCCTTTCGCTGGGAAAAGGTCAACTCTGGGTAAAATTTGATCTAAGTACAGGAAGTTCTTCTGGAAAAATTTCCACTTTTCCCATAAAAAGAATCCCACTTTTGAAATGGCTGGCTGCATGGTAACGTATGCATCCACCTTAGTTGATGCAAATGACATTATAAATGTACAATTATAATCTGTACAAATACTTAATTATTGAAGACAATTGTTTACCCAAGGCTCTGGACGTAGATCCCATTTTCAGATATTAGATCCTCCTAGTTTTTTCTTGAGGGATGATTTAACAGGCCTGTTTAGAGGGAAGTAACTTCTTAGTGCAAAAAAGGATTTTTGTGCCTTTTATTAAAATCTAACTCGAGCATCTATGGATTTGCAGTATCTAGTGAAAATATTTCCTAGGTAGATTGTAGCTTGACGGGGTAGTCAGTATGTTGCCGCACACGTAAAATTTATATATCAAAATGAATATTTTTATGCAATGGATTGGTTATAATAATTTTTACATGTGCCCGTGCAGGGCCACAGCCAGAATTTTCAAAAATGGGATTTTTTTCTAAAAAATAGGACCTTTTCCCATACAAACTTTCATGTACCTAGATCGAATTTTACCCACAGTAGACCTTTTCCCACAAAGAAGGGGCGTTCTTTTGAACCCCCTCCCAACGTGCCTGGCGTGAAACATTGAAATTTTTAAAAAACAGTGTAAATAACATTCTATACACGTAGTAGTAAATCAATTACTACTAACTTTAGTATTCTTATTTCAGAATTGGTCCTAAAAAAGGACTCTAAAGTCCGTTGCGCCTTTTTCTTGTGCACACCTCTCTCTCACAGAAGTAAATATCTCTTTTGTTATTTTACACATGCATAGATAAATTCTTAAGTAGCATGGATTAAAGTTGCTTTTCAAAATAACTCTCTGGTCAGTCACATCAGAATTGTTATCCATTGCTCCTGGATTCCATAATATGTGATAACGTGCCGATCAACATCTCCGTGGTATTTTTGGGGATGCTACGGAGATAAGCATTGTCCATGTGATAGGAAATTTTTATTGTCTGTTTATCTTTCCATCGTCTGATATATTTTGCTGCCATTGCTGTTTGAAAGGTCGTCCACGTGCAAAGTAATCACACATGCATTGAATGAGTTACTGAGAATGAACGATAGACCGAAAAATAAAATTAGTTAAGAAGACGCATTTCCTTAAGGATGAAGAAGTAAATGTTAGGAAACAAAATAAGATTTCATCCGTCTCTTCCATTTTCTTGATATACATAGTTTCAAAATTCAAATTTTAGAATGGAAAATTAAAATACAATGTTTTGAGTTAGAAAAGTTAAAATTAGAAAAAAATGAAAAATACTTTTTTGAACCTTCATAAGAAAAAATTGGACAATTTTGTTTGGTCCTCGTATTCTGTTAAAAGGCTACATCTGAGTAAAACATGTGTTTTCAAGATGACATCAAAACTTTAAGTACCGCCAATTAACAACACAGACAGTAAAGCTGTGGCAGTTACATTTTAAGTCGTGATCACCACAGGAGGCCATAGACTGCCAAGGAAAGTTTGTAATTATCCTTTTCGGCAAATACTTTGTAGTCGACTATGTTTGATTGTTTTGTGTCTTCTGTCTGGGAAAATGTTGACAGAGACAAAGTTTACTGTCCTCGAGGGAACAGTTGACTTAACGTTAAGAGTTAGTTAAGCCGTCTTGATACCTCAGCTGTCCAAATACAGGGATGCATCTTTAGAGAGAAACATTATGATCAGCTACGCTCCACACTTTGCCATTCAACGAGTTAGTAGGTAGAGAACAGACGGTTCGAGAAAAGTCACAGGATCAAAATGGGTAAGTTTTAACTTGAAACTTTATGTTTAGTTTAGTTTAGTTTATTTCACTGTAACATATGCATCCACTTGTGTGGATGAAAATGACAATATGCATAGAATTTTTGTGAATATGCTATTAAACAATCTCAACGAGTAAGACTATTTACTATTAAAAAATTACTATTAGAATTACTCAATTGCCGATGAGTGCAGCACTGTCTTCTAGATTCCTCCTAGCAAAAGCGGAGGAGAGAAACTGAGCTAATGCAATTAGGGTTTCTTCTTTTTGACATTTCATATTTATAGCAAATCTCAGTTTCATCAGTTGCTTTTACGTCAAAATGAGTATATAGTGTTATTTGTAAATACCTTATATGATATTGTTCGCAAGTCGTTGTATAGGGGGTATGTTGTGAGGAAGTGTTTTTCGTCTTTAATTTTGTCTTTAGAACAGTAATGGCATATTCTGCGTAGTTTGAAGTTTTTTGGTGAACACCTAAAATTTGTTTAAAAAAACTGAGATTGAGTTTTTTCCGATAGAGATCTGTCTGTGAGAAGGGTAAATCCCCATACCTCTGATCCGTACGTTGCAATGGGCATTATCATGGTTTCGAATAGTTGGATTATATAATGGGGCTGGTTAGAGGGAAGTAACTTTTGAATGCAAAAAAGGCTTTTTGTGCTTTATCTTTTCATCTTTTTTGGAGCAGCGGTTAATTTGCCTGATCTAGTGAAAAGAACCCCTAGTTAGTTGTAGCCAGACGAGATAGCGAGTAGTTTACCGCCAATGTTGAATTTGTGTTTGCTTTGAGTGTTATTTTTCCCTTGTTGTTGAAATTGACAAGTTGGTTTTTTTATGTTTATTGAAAGTATTCACAGTGTACAATACGTTTTCAGACAATCCAGGCTATATTGGAGACCAAATGGGCTTTTTGAGAGAGAACTAGGTCGTCAGCGTAGATTTGTTATTGATCAGAGGGGGGTCACTTTTTGTCTATACCTTATAGTAAATCGTCTACAAATAGGTTAAAGAAGAATGGGCTAAGAGTATCCCCTTGCTTGACACCTTTATATGTGGATAATGGACCAGTGATGCCCGAAGGGGTTTTAACACAACCTGTTGCATGACTATACATGGTTTTAATGTTTCTGTAAATTTTCCTACCAACCTCAAGCTTTAACAGTTTATACAAGAGACCCTCTCTCCAAACACCGTCAAACGCCTTACTGAAGTCTATGAAACATGTGTACAGCTTTCTTTTAGACCTAGCGAATTTTGTTACAAGTGACTTAAGAATAAATGTGTTGTTTGCAGCACTGTGGTTTTCCCTAAATCCTGCTAGATGGGGGAGTGGGACACCCTTCTTTTTTTTTTGCATTCGCTTTAAAGACTGGTTAGCACGAGTGAGTTATATATTTCCCTACACAACTGGATATGGAAAATCCCCGATAGTTGTCTGCTTTGCTGGGGTAGCCTGTGGGTATAATAAAACGTTTATTCCATATATCTGGATATTCTGCTCTGTGGAAGACGGCATTAAATAGTTTGTGAAGAGTAGGTGCTATTATTGTTTTACTGGATTTTAACATTTCATTTGAGATTTTGTCTTCCCCAGGTATTTTATTGTTTCCTAGGGAGTTGATTCCCTTAATAATTTCCTCTGTCGTTATCTCATGATCTAAGAGACTGATATTGTCCTTTGTTTGCCTCCATTATTGGGAGCTGGGATTCAACGTTCACTTTAAAGGTGTTATCGTAATCGCCGCTATCGGCGTTACTGCTGAGATTTTTGAAGTGTTCAAAAATATGTTATGGTCTACATAATCCTTGGCATCTTAGCTTGTGGTTTTTGTTGTTTAGTTGCTTTTTGTTTGCAAAAATTCTTTCGGGTCTGTATTTTCCATAGATTCAAGCTTTTCACGAAGGTCTGACTTGTTTTTATGCTGGGCTTTTTTTAAAGGCTCGTTTGTATTTATTCAGAGCAGAGTAGTATGTCCCTTAGACTACAGGGTCCTTGGGGAAGTAACTTCTGAGAATTTATGGTTTTGTTTACTTTTGAGATTTACTTGATGAGATTTTATCTACTAAACAGGGGTATTCCTACCAAATTTGCAAATAAACAACCAACGAATCATTGTTAACCCTAGCTACTTTTTAATTAGAACTTTGTACAATAATAATAATTATTTATTTAGCACAAAGAAATGGTTTACATTTACTGGCTGTCTAACTAATACAAATATTAAAAGTAATTTAAGTAGTAATCTATGCTCATCCACGCAGGGATACACGCTTTTTCATTGCACTGTTTACAAATTTACAAATGGCTATCACACTCTGCGCAGAGTTTGGATTGAGTAAAATAGATAAAAACATGTTTGTTGGACCCTACAAATTCACATCTGGTATGGAAGCTAACAGTCGTTCCCGTTCGACTCTGTGTTCACTGCATTCTAAAAAATTGTGCTCCATCTTCTATTAGGTCGCAGTGGGGCCATTTCCTTTTGTCAATTGGCTTCTTTGGTTTTGTATAGAGCCATCTTTCGATTTCTAATTCATGATCACTCAGCCTCATTTTTGTTAATACCCTTTTTGAGCTAAAGGAACATTGAGTTTCAGCCTCATAAGTGTGCTTAATTTTTCCATATATTCTGAGTTTATTGTTTTCTCCTTTTTGAAATTCTTCCCAAATAATTGACATTATTTTGTAATTATTTCAAGTATATGACGTTTTAGTTTAGCTTTAAATGAGTAAACAGTCATTATAACCCAAGTAAGTAGTTCTGGCTCCAGTGGAAATACATGCATCAACTTCAAGTCGGCTAACGAAAAAAAGTTACGGGATTAAATCAGTTTAGGGTGCATGTTTTATGTGCATAGAAAAAAGAAGCATTTTGACGATTTTTCAAACCCATAGAATGTCCATGTAAACACTTTTATAACCAAGACTTATGGAATAAAATTATTTGATAGGTTTTATAATTATGTGTGGGTGGAAACAAGATTTTGGCCTTGTCAATAGCAAAAATTTTGTTTTGGTAAGAATTTTTATTAGATTCTTAAGCATCTACTTAAAGATGTTTTGTAAGTCAGCATGTCTTTTGCATTGGCTATTTCATTGCTTTTGTTATAACTTACTTTACAAGATAAATAAAAACATTGAAATGGTGTTGGGTAAAATAGTAAAAAATTAAGAAGCATTTACATGCACACATAAAAAATTGCCCCTTTATATTTTTTACCAAAACTAGGTGTTCAATTTTAACGCTCCTTTTAATGTCGCCTGCGTCTGTTGTTGCCATACCGATAACACGATACGTGGAAACCCGTTTTACCTTTTGCCCTAAAATGTTCAAAAATCAGCATGATTGAACCTTTTCACAAAAGTTATAGTTTTTTTGCAATAATTATAATGCATTTTAAGGCAAACCTATCAGCCTTTTTACTTTTAACCCACAGGAGTGATCAATGTGATCATACAGAGATCAAGCTTAAACATTAACTTGATTAGTTAAGTTTGGTGAAGTTAAGTCTTTTTTAGTATTATGAATGTTTTTTCTTCAGATCTAATTCTAATGCATGTTAACAGTCTCATTATTGAACTAATTAGATATGTAGAAGTGTTGTTTTGAGATTATCTGCTGCTGTACAATATTGTTTGTTGATTATATAAAAATGAAGGTAAACCTGTTATCGTGTATTGTGTAATAAAGATTGAAAATGGAAATGATTATCGTGTATTGTGTAATAAAGTGTAAAAATGGAAATGAAATATCATTGCAATTCAACAGATTCAATAATTCACTAATTCATTCAGTAGGGATAAGGTATTTTACTGGAAATATTTAGTCTATTATTTTATCATAAATATTAATAAAGATCAAAGAGAATTAAATTTTAACTTAATTGATGCACTTGATTATACATAAATTTTCACAATAACTTAGAAAATATCATGAAATAAAAAAATAGATTATTATCAAATCTTTAAATATTCAAATATCAAACACAACAGCTCATAGGCACTAAAAATAAAATTGGAAATTATTTAGTTTCTAATCTCATCTTTTCCATAAGGGTCTGCTATAGTGTTGAGGTGTGATTCAGGTTGTCTGTGAGGCTCAGGGTGCAATTTCCACGTCTGCATTTTTTAACCTTAATCTCATACTGACATTATTGTGTTGCAGCATGTTCATGCAAGAATTGAAAATAATTCCTTTTACCCTTGATTACTCACTACAGAAAAAAGCATAGGCTTTTTGGGAAAGAGAGAGTAAATGTAAACTCTGGCAAATAACGAAATGTACATTTCATATTTAAAAGTTGTAAGCAAGTAGAAAAAAATGTCATTTAATGAAATTCATTTGGCTGCAAAATATAGCATGTATTTTGGCATCTAAAAAACATTACATGGGCCATTTTACACGAAGAATACACTACTAAACTGATGCAAAGAAAATCCATTAAAAATGTTGAAATTTAAAAAGCAATCTCAAACTAAATGCTAAGTAATTAATACCCATATATTTAAATTAATTTAAACCAAAACATAATCTTTTAATGGTATTTTAATTAATTTTCATAAAAAAGCATCAAATTTGACTTAAATGACTTTTTCACCTACTTTAACTGATACATGACTTTGGTGACAGCTGTCTTAATTAATAAATTAATTATGCTATCTTAAATATGCATAAAGATAATAATAATAATATAATAATACATTTATTTCAAGTCTAAAATCCATAAAATGTTTCATACACTGTACATCATAAAATACAGAGAAGTTTATATATAACATATATATTTATATATAATTTAATATATAAAAATGGTTAAGATATATTTTTTATAAATAAGAGCTAAACTAAATTGTAATTAACAGTAATTAATAGTAAGAAATCCAAGGTTTCCTAAAAACTGTAAAATTTAAAATTCATTAATAAAATGTCTTTAAAATATGAGTTTTTAATTCCTTTTTAAAAGATTCTTGTGATTCTAATTTTCGAATAAAAATTGGCAACTTATTCCATTCTAGTGGTGCAGCTACACAAAATGATATGTCAACATATGATTTTAACCCTGATTTTGGAACTTTCAGTAAAAGTTTGTCAACAGACCTCAGGGATCTTTGAGGGCTATAATGATTGACTAGATCGGTTATATATGGTGGAGCTAGATTATAAGCAGCATGTGTAAAAACTAAAACCTTAAATATAAAATTCTGGTCCTAACTGGTAACCAGTGCAGATGCGTTAAAATTGAAGTGATATGGCAATCCCTAGGCTGTTGCACTAAAAGCTCTGCTGAGATATTCTGGATGAGTTGTAATATTTTGATCTTATCTTCTGGACATCCATATAATACAGAATTGCAAAAGTCTAGCCTGGAAGTTACCAATGAGTCTATAACTGTAGCAGCAGATAATTGATTCAGATGTTTCCTGATGGTGTCAATATTCGGAATGTTGAATAAACAAGACCTTGTGATGTTGGAGATCTGTTTGTCCATTGAAAGTGTAGATTCAAAGTATACTCTTAAATTTTTACATGGGGGGAGGAAAATGCCATATATTAGCTCCAATTTTAAGTTGCAAGTTGTGAGCAAGGCCCTTGTTGTGGGGGTGAGAAATGACTAAAAGTTCTGTTTTTCCATCATTGATATTAAATTTGTTTGAAATGAGCCAACATCTGAGGTCTGATATGCAATCAACAAGCAGTTTCTCTCTCCCCTTTCAAGATGGTGTAATTGTACAGATATGTTCACATTTGATAAGTAAACATAATTCTACAATTAGACCCTTAAGCCTACACATTTTGTTCATGAGCATAGTTAAGCATTTTCACAAAGCATTCACTGAATACCATTTTTTTCTCAATGTTCAAACAATGTTCCAAAACAACAATCATGGATATTTTAAAAATTGATATGGATATTTTAAAAATTGACATTTATGACCTATGACCCATTATCAATGACCACTGAGCATATGTGGCATATGGAATTGATTGTCCCATTATTTGCCTCCATAAAGAATAAATTCATTGATATATATATATATATATATATATATATATATATATATATATATATATATATATATATATATATATATATTACCAGTTAGCACTTTTCTCCGTTTTCAAATAAGGAATATCTTGACACCTACCTATGTTCACATTTAATTGCATAATTTTATGAAATAAGACACTTAAGGCTCCAAATTTTGTTGCTAACCATTAGGCTATAGCATGATCACAAAATATTCTCCAAATAACAAAACATTTTATTTTGGACCAAAAATTAATTTTTCTGGAGTAATTTTTTTCACATACTTACCAGTTGTTAATGAATCCATTTCTATATTCAAAGTTCTATATTTTTTTCTAAAAAGTTTGTTTTCTTTTAATAAATTCTTAAGCCATCTTTGAAGGTCTGTCAACAAGCTCATATATCAGGATAATAGCTATAACTGCCTTTGTTGTGGAAGAACAGAAGATATTATATTTGTACAAGTTTTTTTTTTTTTTATTTTAATAAATAAACCTCAAACGAAGAGTTTAATGTCAAAATGCCAATCAGCCTTCTGAATAAAAAGATGTGTATTAATTTGCTTTATTTATTTTAACAGATAATGATGTGCATATTCAAGTTGAATCTGAAGGAAGAGCTTTTATGATTCCTGTTCCACCAGAAGGATTTACATTAACAGACCTTGGTAAGTTCATTATTGCTGATGGCGATTATTATGTACAAACACAGCCTTTACAATATCTGTACAAATAGCTGTCACCTGCGTCTGTTGTTGCCATCAGTAAACCTGTTATTGTGTAATAAAGTATCAAAAATGGAAATGAACTAAAATCATTGCAGTTTGTCAGATTCTATTATTATTATACACTTGGGGGCGTCTCCATAGTCCGAAGGTTCATTGGTCCAAAAAGTGGTAACATTTTTAATCAATTTTTATGTACAGACACAGATGTGACTGTACATATAGCCGTCATCTGCGTCTGTCGTTGCCGTTGTCGCCGTGCACTTTTACCGATAACACGATAAGTGGAAAACTGTTTTTTATCATGTACAGACACAGATGTGTCTGTACATATAGCCATCATCTGCGTCTGTCGTCGCCGTCGCCATGCACTTTGACCGATAACACGATAAGTGGAAAACTGTTTTTTGTTTTGGCTTGAAACTTACAGAACTGATAAATATTCATAATACGCAGGTTAAGTTAAAAAATCAGCATGATTGGGTCATTTTTAGGGAAGTTATGCTGTTTTTCACTTTTTTCAGCATATATGCAACACTGATAACACGATAAGTGAAAAATCATTTTACCTTTTGCCTTGAAACTTACAGAACTGATGAATATTCATAACACACAGGTTAAGTTTGAAAATCAGCATGATCGGGTCATTTTTAGGGAATTTATGCTGTTTTTTCACTTTTTTCAGCATATATGCAGCACCGATAACACGATAAGTGGAAAACCATTTTACCTTTTGACTTGAAACTTACAGAACTGATGAATATTCATAATACGCAGGTCAAGTTCGAAAATCAGCATGATCGGGTCACTTTTAGGGAATTTATGCTGTTTTTTCACTTTTTTCAGCATATATGCAGCACCGATAACACGATAAGTGGAAAACCATTTTACCTTTTGGCTTGAAACTTACAGAACTGATGAATATTCATAATACGCAGGTCAAGTTCGAAAATCAGCATGATTGGGTCATTTTTAGGGAAGTTATGCTGTTTTTCACTTTTTTCAGCATATATGCAACACTGATAACACGATAAGTGAAAAATCATTTTACCTTTTGCCTTGAAACTTACAGAACTGATGAATATTCATAACACACAGGTTAAGTTTGAAAATCAGCATGATCGGGTCATTTTTAGGGAATTTATGCTGCTTTTCACTTTTTTCAGCATATATGCAACACTGATAACATGATAAGTGAAAAATCATTTTACCTTTTGGCTTGAAACTTGCAGAACTAATGAATATTCATATTACGCAGGTCAAGTTCGAAAATCAGCATGATCGGGTCATTTTTAGGGAAGTTATGCTGTTTTTCACTTTTTTCAGCATATATGCAACACTGATAACCACACACCTTGATTGAACCACACACCTTCTTTACAAATAGCAGACCAATAGAAATAGTTAAACAATACACATACCTTGGGGTAGTCTTTACTAACACAGGATCATTAAAACATTCAATTGAAAATCTCAAGCAAAAAGCACTGAAAGCCATGTTTACCCTAAAGGGAATACTAGCATCGCAAGAAATTTCATCACCTATACTTATCATGAATCTTTTTGACAAGATGATTAAACCCATTCTCTTATATGGATGTGAAATCTGGGCTCAAGAAATCTTCACAGAGAAAAAATTATCATTAAATAAAATAAACAAAATGCCCTTTGAACAAATACATTTAAAGATGTGTAAATGGGCACTTGGTGTGAGAAGGTCAGCTAGCAATAATGCCTGCCGTGCAGAACTTGGGCGTCTCCCATTATACTTGGACATTGTCAAACTAGTATCAAGATACAGTGAAAGGCTGGATAACCTTCCAGAGCAAAGAATTGTCAAGCAAGCGTACAATAGAGAACAAGCAAAAAGGGAGAAAAACTGGTTTTGGACAATGTCAAACTTGGCTACATGTTGGGGATTTAATCATTCAAATTCAACCCTAACTCTCAATAAAATTCACAATGACCAAAATCTAGAAAGTAACATAACCATAACCATCAAAATAAAATCAGATTTTTGGGTATAGTTACACAGAGAGGAAAATAATAAGCTGAGGACATACAGGAAAATTAAACATACTTAAAAATGAATATTTCACGCACCCACAAAAAACTTTTGGCAAAAATGAGAATTAGTGACCATGACCTAGAAATTGAAAAAGGGCGGCATACAAACCCAAAAACACAACTTTCAGACCGTAAATGCCCCCATTGTAATGAGGTAGAAGATGAAATACATTTTTTCCTAAAATGCGCCCATAACAAAATTGAAAGGAAATTGCTGTTTGAATGCATACCAGAGGTAAACTTGCAAGGTCTAACAGACGAGGTCAAACAGCTTGACATCATTCTAAACCCAACCACTGATCAGAGTGCAATTGCAGTGGGAAATTTTGTAAGTAAAATTATGAAAAAGCGTAATTCACTAGAAGTACACAAATGATTTCATACATCTCACCTGCATATTAAGAGAATGTATATAGTGTAACATTATATAAGTATAATTTTTTTCCTCTTTCATTTAGTTTCTATCCTTACTATCTTTCCATATGTATAATGTATAGTAGCTAGAGAGCCTCTAAATGTAAAAACATTTCAGTGCTCAATAAATTATTATTATTATTATTATAGCATGATAAGTGGAAAACCATTTTACCTTTTTGCTTAAAACTTGCAGAACTAATGAATATTCATAAAACGCAGGTCAAGTTTGAAAATCAGCATGATCGGGTCATTTTTAGGGAAGTAATGCGGTTTTTTTTCAATTTTTTCAGCATGTATGCAACACCTTTGTGATATATGATGGTACTGTATGGATGACAGTCTATAAAAATGTCCCTTGGGTGATCACTAATTAAATTAAGGTCTATAAAGTCACTTGCCCACTCATTCATTTTCAATTGGCCATTAAATGAGATTACATAAAACACTCATTGAGATTTCCCTGTAAAGTCCCATAGGTTTAGCTCTCTTAACTGTGTCACAAAATTAGGATTTGGTGATAATTATGCAGATAATGGTGTTTAACATTGCAAATACATTTACAACAAAAAAAATTGTGTTATGCCAACATGCTATAGATGAATAACAGTGCTTAATTTTTCTCAGACTTTTTGGGGTTATTAATATCAAGTTAATACAGCTAGATTAAAAGTTTGAATAGCAGCTTTATTGGAATTTTTTATCTTTTATTTAAAATCTTTTTAAAATTATTTTTCAAACACTAGCATCTTCAAGATGTGATTTTTAACTCCCATCCTCTAGAAGTGCTGTGCATTTTCTGTATTTTTGTATATAATTGTTATTTCTTCAGATTTAATTCTTAGGCATGTTAACAGTCTCATTATGGAACTAATAAGCTATGTAAAAGTGTTGTTTTGACATTTTCTGCTTCTTAACAATATTGTTAGTTGATTATATAAAAATGACGGTAAACCTGTTATTGTGCATTGTGTAATTAAGTATCATAAATGTAAACGGAACTCATCATTGCAGTTTGTCAGATTTTATAATCATTCACTATGTTCAGCATCTGCAAATGGAGCAAATTGGACATTGAAAATTGTTCTATTGATATTTTTCCTATATCAACAATTTTCCTAGTTAGACATTTAAAAATGACAGTTTATTGATTATTTGGTTTTAAAAAAGGTGTTGAAAATGAAAAGAAAATCATTTCAGTACAGTTATCTCTTGTTTACATTTTGGCATTTTGAAAGTGTGACTCTGAACTTCTATGGCCTTGAAGACCTTCCCAAATCACATTTTCTGAATATTCATGATACTTTTTTTTCATAAAAATTTGATGGTCATTATAATGTTAAGTATTATGTTATATTGCATGAAAGTTTAAGAAAACCCTATTTTGGACACTGCTGCCAGGATAGCGATTAAGGGAAAACCATGTTACTTACAATACTGAAACTTACTGAAAAGTTTCATAAGACAGAAGTACAGCTTGTGTTTGAAAACCAGTGTGATTGTTTTCTGTTTTGGAAGCAGTGCAGGTTTATAGAGTGCTATACTGGCATTTTCAAGTTGTGACTTATCACTCCCATCTGCCAGGAGCCCTGTACTCTTACTTTGTAACATTTTCTGTATTTTGTTAATTTACAAGAATGATTCTTAGGATTGACATACAGCCCCCCCCCCAAAAAAAAATTATATATATATATATATATATATATATATATATATATATATATATATATATATATATATATATATATAGATTTTTTTTTTCAATGAGTTTAAGAATTTTTTTTTTGTAATTTTCACTGTACCTCATTTTGGCAATTCCAAAGTTTAACTCTTATCAGCCTGACACCTTAGGGACTATTTCCAGACCCTATCACGCTAACTGTGGATCGATCTATCTCCATGGGAATTCTCGCTAAATTGCAATGAATGTAAGTGGCTTTTTTGTCTGTCACGCCTACTGAAACTGGCATGCCAGAATCCTAAGACTCTCAAACTGAAAGCAATTTAGTGAGAAACCCCTTGGAGTTGGATTGATCCTGTCAGATTGATCTAGGTATGTGAACTCAGTCTAATGCTTGATACACATTTTACTTTCATCCTAATCCAATGTTATGCAGAATTAGAATTTGATGTTGGCTATGCAGTTACAGTAAGCATAATACATAAGTTCATCAGAATTGACAATATCCTGTTTCCTGTGTTTTTATTTACTGGTTTTTGTCTGTACATTTGACAGCTTTGCTGCCTTGTTTTTTTTTTATCTTTATTTTTTATCTGTTATTTGTCAGCTTTGCTGCTTTGTTTAAATTTATTTTTCAAACAGTAGCATCTTCAAGATGTCAATTTTTTATTAGATATGCATAGGTGTTGTATTGACATTTTATGCTTCTTAACATTAATGTTATTTGATAATATAAAAATGAAGGTAAACCTGTCATCGTGTATTGTGAGATGGCTCGTATCATTCACAATGGCAAGACACCATTGACGAAAAGTCACTAATCAAAGGCGAGACACCTTTGCTTACCAACCCCCTACGTCCCTTAATTTTCCTTTTTTTTTTAATCTCAAACTCTGCAGCTGAAGAAGGTAACTTGTTGACCGAAAAGCGCTTTCTGCAACTAGTCCACCCTCCCCCTTCCCTCGTCAGGCAAGACGCCTCTATCGTGCCAATCACGAAATGCCCTTTTCAGGGCACCCTGTGTAGATCGGTATCTATAAATATCATATGATGTAGGTGAGACACCTACTCTCCTATCAGAGACAATCTTTCCTCATAACAAATGCGAGAAGCCTAACACACTCTAAGAGTCCCTCTCTACTCTGCACGGAATGTCCTTTTCAGGACACCCTACATGTATAAGTGACTATAAATCTCATACCAGGCAGGCAGGACACCTACCTTCCTAACAGAGACAATCGTGGCTCATAATAAAGGCGAAAAGCCTAACACACTCTAAGAGGCACTGACTACTCTGCACGGGGTGCTGTAGAAACACACGTCCTCAGAGGCCCAGCTCTGAATCTTGTTATTTTGGTAAAGTGGAATATAAATAGGACATGAACCCACCACCCCCAACACTAAATTGCTATCAGCAGAGTTTTAAATGTCTGTCACACCTACAGAATCAGCTAGAGGTAAAAATAATTACCCCCTAACAGACATTTATTTCAGATATGCACAATAATGAAAGTAGTAATGAATATAAACATTTTAGGACAAGTTTTTCCTGGTGCAACTGGGTTACAATACAAGGATGATGATGGAAGCCCCCCCACGCTTGTCTTGAAGAGGGAAGATACATTTAGAACACCACTTATGGGTTGGAATGTACAGGGAAGGACCTATCAAGTAATCAAAGGTAATGTGGTAAATGGTATTGTAATAACATAAGATATATTCTATGGCAATTTTATGTACAGAAATATTTTTTGAGTCATGCGTTTCCACATTGTATAATCATAGTTAGTATACATGTTAATTTGCATCTGTCCTGTATAGATAATTATAAATCTCTGTAGAGGCCTATAGGTATGCCCGAGACAGATGCATATAACCTGAACTCTAAAGAGTTCTCCCGGTAATCCCTTTACTCCTTCCAGCATATTTTCACGCTAAATTGCATTCGGCCGAGCGTGCACCATAGTTAAATACCCCCTTACAGCTTATAGTAGGCAGGACAGTCGCTTTAGCCTGCTAAGCTGACAGTAATCTAGTGAGACTCTCTACGGGGATATATAAATCTAAAATCAATGTGGATGGGATCTATGACCATGTTCCCATAGTTTTTTAAAAGTTATTCTTGGAAAATGATATGTTCTGTCCCTCCCTTATGAAAAGAAAAACACGTGCACATGCAATTTCTAAGGTTGCCTTAATTTTTTAGTTTAGATAGATCCATCCCCGGGGGAGTCTTACTAGACAGACAACTGTCAGATAATTTGGCTTAAATGCCTGTCACGCCTACTACAAGCTGTAAGGGGGTAATAAACTTGCGTGCACGATCGGCTGACTGCAATTTAGTGTGAACCCCAAGGTGTTAGGTCCATGTAGTAAGATCCATCTAAATCTCTGGGAATGCCCTCTAAAACAATGATGTTGAACACACATTTTTTAGGCTTTTTGTAGAAAAATCCTCCTAAATGATTTCATATAATTATTGGTGGATACATTAATATAACATCATTCTAAACATGGCTTAAAAGTCGATCCTGCATGAAAATTATTGATACTTATATAGTGATTATTTTTCAAAATACTGAAACAATCTAGTGAAAAGGAGTAAATTTTCCACTGTAGTAACATAGCTGGTTAACAATTAATGTGTGAATGACCTCATTACATGGTTCTTTTTAAGTAAAACTAACCATTTCAGTACCATATGTACATGCATTTTCTTTCAGAAACCTCTTTAGATGTTTTTGCTGGCTTTAGGGCAGAAAGAGAACAAAATAGACGAACGTTCTTTAGAACAGAAAGACGTCCTGCCTTGCCAGGAACTGAGGCAGGTCCAAGCAGCAGACCAGCTTTTTCTACAAAATCTGTAACTGTAAGTCATGTTAACAGCACTGCCCTGAGTTGTTCATTTTTTAACTTAGATTGTACATAGATACTGTTCATGTTAATTAAATTTAAATATTGCAGAGGAGAAGAATATATTTTGACCAATTTAGGTGATTATTTATAAAATATTCTAGCATAGTAATGTGTATTTATGGTCATTAATTAACATCATAAGTACTTGGGATCATGAAAGTATATATAAGAACCTAATACAGACAATTTCACAAGGATGAATTTTATGTTGGAAATGCCAAAAAATTCAGATTAGGCAGGAATGTGGTGTACTATCCCTTAATTTCTATTTATATATAAAAAAGTAGCAACAATTTTTTGTTGTGAGACATGTGTGTACCATTTTTTTCGTAATCACAGTGCACTTCATTTTTTTAGTTGGCTGTAGGGATTGGTGAGAAAACTGGTGGTTTTTTTGTGCCAATATCTGCAAGAAACAAAAGAAAAGTAGGCGGAACAGTTAATATTACAGTTGAAGCAGCAACAGCAAATGCAGGAGAAATCACAAGCAAAGCATTACAAAAATTTGAAGAAACTAACTGCCGATTTGACAAGAATGAAAAGTGGATACTTGCATATCCCGACGGAAGTCAAGTGGTTGATCTACCAGATAAATCGGCACCTTTCAATCTTAAAGCATATAAAGAATACCTCAGTATGGAATATCGGCGCATTAGGCTATACCTTACTGTGAAGGATGGTGAGTATTACTATTACTTGTTCTCATCTTTAATATCATTCCCTGTAAGTGCCAAACCAAATATTAATAAAAACTATAAAATTGAGCATCATTAATTATTGTTAATTATTGCTTGCAAATATTTTGGTTAAGTTCAGTCTATATAAATGTGTCAAACTGAATGTTTGTTACACATCATATTTGCTGAGATGCTTAAGATTAATTAGACAGGTGTATTTCAAGTGACATAATCAATTTAAATGTAAATTTTAGGTGTTTTAAGAATTTTCACCCCACAAAATGTATTTTGATCTTCACTCCTTATTAATGGAGTTGCATAGTTTGGAAAAGCTTCTTTTAAAAATGATCAGATGATTAATATCTAATTACATAAATACAATATCAATACAAATGGCAAACAGATTTATTGTTTTAGATTTAATGATTTTTGCATCCCAGCTGGTCTGAAAAGTTCATACCGAACAAGGTTTACCTTGATTTATTTTATAAATTGTCAAAGCTTATGATAGTTAGTGTGGCTTGCTTATGTCCATACCAATATACATGCGGTATTGTTAAGCTGTTTGAATATAAAGATTTTTTCAGCCAATTATTATGTTGTTTGACAGCTTTGTCAAGTTGGTTTTAAACTGTATTTTCAAACAAGCACATATTAAAATATTAACAATTAACCTTGCAGTTCCAAGCAGCAGTAGCAGTAGCAGTAGTTCCAGTAGTCCTAGCAACAGCAGCAGTAACAGTAGCAGTAGCAGTAGTTCTGAGGTAAGACCGTTACACTGTTTTCAGATATTTGCCAAGTATCAGCATGTGGTTAAAATGATGGGCCTTATGACCAGAAGAGGTTGGAGCAAATGTGTGTTATCTGTAACTGTTCCCTTTTTTATACACCTTAATTTATTACTATGCCACATTTGTAGAATTAAAGGGATAAGAACTCTTCGTATGAGATCTATATTTCACAATGAAAACAATGTAAACAACTCATATATAAATAATATTTTATGTTGTACCTCAAAAATAGCTGATATCTGAGCCTGTCTTCAGACCACGTGACCTCCATTGATGGCTATACTCTTTTAGGAAAAAACATTAAATGTAAAAATGGAATCATTAACCATTGGTTAGTATGAGAAAATTGTTGTTTCCTCCAGGAAAATTCATTTTTTGGCCAAAAAGAAGATTTATTATCACTTAAAGCCTACTTGCCATTCACTTTTTATGTGAATTAACTAGTAAATGTACCAATACATGTAGAAGGAATTAACAAGATAAAGCTGTGTTTACAGGAGGAGGATGCCACACAAGTACACAGTGAGGAGGCAGACAATATAGGAAATGAAGATGATGTGGAGACTGGCACTCCTACAGTAAGTGAAACTAATATAGAGGGAAACTGCAACAGATGTCTCTATTAATATTGTACCTGTTTACATAATACAGATTGACATTAACATGAAATGTTTCACAAAATAATTAATAGTTTGATTGATAAATAAATTCTAGTGTTAAAATTGTGTTGAGTTAGTAAATGTACTTGCTTCAAATGGGTGACTTTAAGTGGTAACCAGTGGCTGATCCAGGGTTATTAGGGAAAGACTGTGGATGCGAAGCCCAATTCACCTCCCCCCCCCCCACCCAAGCACACACACACACCACAACCTGAATTTTTTTCATAGGACAACAATTATGTGCCATGTAATTGTTACAGTTTTGAACTATGATTCACTTAGTCCAAATGTTATTTTCAATAGGGGACCAGAAATTAAAGGGGGGGGGGGAGCTTAACCTATCATATTATTCCTAACAGTCTCAAAGGACTGATTGTAATTAAGCAGGAATCATATCAATCATATCAATTAAGTAATGTGGATATATAAGCTGTAAGGAAGGATGGATTAATTAGGAAGGATGTGGAAGTCTTGAGTGTACAAGTTTAGTATTATTGTTACAATTCTTTTCAAAATTTGCCTATGTGAAAGAGTTACATGCCCCATGAATGACACGAGTGTGTATTACATCACAGCAACAGTCAGTGGGGTATGTAGCCAGTTGTGACCCTAAATTTGAAATAAGGGTGAGTGAGTGTCCATTCCTTTTTTTTTTTATTACAGGTTACTTTCAGGAATACAAGTGAGGATGTAATGGCTGATAGAGATGTAAGTATATATTAAAGTTTAGTAGTATGATGTTCGGTTTGTGTTGATATATCATAACTGTCACATTAGTAACATTTTATTTGGATATGATAAAAAGGCTTTTTGTTTCTGATATCTGTTTTATTTATATTACATACAATTTTAGTAATGGTCACTTAATATTTTAGTATGCCTTTATTTAATTGATTGTGTACACAAAACCGAATCAGTATATATAATAAAAATATATATTTTTCAGTTATATTTCCATAGCGATGATTCAAGTTCAGCCAATTTGACAGTCACTCAAAGGTAATAAATTTTTGTCTGCACCTGTTGTGAATAAATTAGGTTTAATTCACTCATTCTTTTCTTAAAAATTGTAATAAATTCTTAAGAAATTGTATAATTAAAAAAAGTGGAATAAGTTGGGTAATAGTTGAAAATTTCTTAGGGGACATTTAAAACAGAGGATTGAAACGTGGATTGATTAGTCCATGGCTAACATATGGATTGCATTTGAAAGCAGGATGCAAGATCAACAATAAGGTACTGAAGAGCAATGAGGGTTATTGTAAAGTGATTTGCAGTATCTTGTGATCACGGTCTGTGCCCTGAATACCCCACGGCGTAATTACAGGCAGCGTACGTGAGCCAGTTATTTCCAAAGCTGTAATTAATTCTCGGCACTGCTCACAGGAGCAGCAGCCATTAGATAAGGTTTTCTCTTATGTCAGCATATATTCAACACTGAATATACATTTTAAGAAAAACCAATAGTCGTATTGTCTAGAAAATCATTGGATTGATCAATATTAGAAAAAGTACAGGTAAATTCAAAATTCGGCCATCATCAGTAATATTTGTTTGCAATATTTTGCATATTTTGATAACTCTTGTTGATTGCATTTTATAGAGCTTGTCAAACACAAGACTGGCGTGGTGGTGTCACTTTTTGTGGGGGTTCCATATGAATGCCCTTACTCTAACTAATGATACAATATCTGAATCACCTCTCTGATCCTCTAGTTATTTTCTGTGTTATGTCTTTACCACTTTGTTATCTTGTAAACAACATACATGTAAGCTTATTAGGCTAATAGCATATTTTTTTTAACCTATATACCCATAGTATTTTTTTTTCTTAATTTTAGTCTTTCAATCCCAAGTGGAGTAATGGAAATAGAGGAGAAAATAGATTCGACAATTGGGAAGATTGTCCAAAGAACTTGTCAATTACTGTGAGTGAAAGCAAGTGTAATTTTACTTTATGCCTCAATATATAGTGATACACTAACATTTTGGCAGATATTTATAGGGATTGTCCCATAATCAGTGTTTAATTAGTATGTAGCAGGGAATCCCTACCTATATTTTGTCAGAAAATATGCACTGTAGCTATCATAAATTCTATAATTTTTTTGTTATGCTTATATCAAAATAAACCATGTCATTTGGTTTGGTTTTATGCAAAGAGGGGATTTGGATTAAAATGAAAGTATTTGAAAGGATATTATCATATTTATTTATTGGTTTGCAGTAAAACTTATACACAAAATACATATTCGTTTTTCAGAGAAGATGAAGTGAACCCTGAAAAAATTCTCAGGGTTTACAGTAGTGAATACCTGGAGGGGCGCAATATGGATACAGTGGAAATTGATACTGATGAAACCACAACATATGAACGCACAGAACTTTTTATAAGTAGATTTACTGTGTGGGAAGATGCGCTTGAGCAATTACTGTCGATAGACAACCTACGGTATCCCTTGTATGTTTCCTTTCACGGCGAGGAGGCCATAGATTATGGTGGGCCAAGGCGAGAATTTTTACAAATCATGGTCACCGAAACCAAAAACAGGCTCTTCAGAGAAGAAAATGGTGTTGTCACCCTCCTGGAAGATGATTTTTTGTGCGCTTCACAACAGTATTTTTTGGGTGGACTAATTTGTGGTATGTACAATGCATTAGGAATACTATTTTGAAAAAAGAATAAATCTAGGTATTGGATTAAAAAAATTAAATGATGAACCTGGGTTGGGTAACAAGCATATGAAAATAGCATGTCCATCAGCATAAAATCAATTTGGTTGATGAAAATAAAATATACATTAGCAATAATAATTCAAAGTTTAAAATATTGCATAGTATGGATTGAAATATATTTTATCTATTAGTTATATAAGAGGGAGATCCAGAATTATTTGAATGGTGGGGGTCCATGGTATTTAAAAAGGAGAACTGTGTTTTTGGTATATATAATGTAGTAAAAATTCTTATTCCATGAAGTGAATATTTAGTTAATTTTTTTCACAACTCCCATGCCCCCTCTAAATCTGCCACTATATTTGTACATTTGAAATTTTTATATTTTCTATTAAATTATTACATTGTCATATGAACAGTTTATCCTTAATTAGCCATGGTACGTCACTTAAGTAAATAAGCAATAATTCATTGCAACAATAGAAACAACCTGCAAACAAATACAATAAATCAGCTGAAATGTGTGTGTGTGTGTGTGTGCAGGTCAACTTTTGTTATAGAAAGATATATAGATGTATAGATATATTAAACATATTAAACATTTTACAGGACTTAGTATGCTGCAAGGTGGACCGTGTCCAACCTTTGTGGAATATATATTAGACAAGGAAAGCAAACACCACAAACAGTTTATGTCTGGACTAAGAAGGGTGGGGATTATACAGGTAAATGTATATATTTCAAGTGAAAAAGGACTTTTTAAACTTTCTGTTTCAAAAATGACTTAGTCTTACAATAAATAAATACTGCTTCAAAATGCCGAAGTTACAGAATATATGATAATGCTATTGTCCAGCAGTTTGAACACAGTTTACACAGTTGCTGAAAGTGTAGACTGACCGTTTATGACATTTATTTATAAACAAACCTATTTATAAATTTAATATGCAGTTACACATCTATGGTACTGCTTTATTGTTCATTAAATCCTATTGCATATTCATTTCTTTGTTAATATTTCTAACAATATCATTAATGAAAACAACTCTTCAACTTTAATTGTAGTTGATGGAAAAACTCCCCACCCTGAGAATGATTTTCAAGGAGTCAAATGCTAGCCTCACTTTCCCCAAGATACAGAGGCTTCTTAAAGCAGAATTCTCTGCACCTCAATCTTCCAGGCGCAGAGAAGAAGAACATGTGTATGGGCAGTTTTTAAGATATCTGAGGGAAGTGGCAGGTAATAATAAAGTATATCATACAATAAAAATGTGATAAATAGTTATTGCATGAGGAGCAAATGGTTTCCCAATAAAGTAACCTGTGCACAGTTGATAAGTACAACCTATAACCTCCCGATGGTCAGTCAACATATATCAATATATATATAAACATTACAAGCTTTGTTTCTGTCACTGTCTCTTTTTGTAAAATAAGATAATCTACAACATAGATATTGAGTATAAGGTAAATGCAACATTAATTAAATTTCAATTAATGCTGAAGATTATAATAAAGAGTGTTTTTTTTCTTTCTCAGCAGGTAGAAGAAAGAGTGTGACGTTAGGGCATATTCTAGCCTTCTGCACAGGTGCAAGGGAAATCCCCTCACTGGGATTTCCAAGTGACATAACTCTGACATTTTCAATTGGAACAGAATCCATGTTGCCAACAGCCAGCACATGTATAATGCAAATGAATTTAAAGATTCCAGCTCTGGGAGTGGAGAGGCCCCCCCAGGAATTCATTTACAATTTGTGGGACTTGGCTTTCTCAAACACCTTTTTTGGCCTTTGTTAAAAAGACATATAAAATCATGTTTTTGTTTGCTTCTTTGTAAGTGAGTTCAGGGTATATAATATGAAGAGCTCTTTTTTTGGATGTTCTCTAAGGCTTTAGATTGCTGTGTGCTAATTCCAGCATGCCATAGCTGACAAACGTACTCATGTGTTGGTGTGAGATTGCTTTTATAAATTTGTAAGAGTTCATATCTCGGCACCCCAGCGTGTTTGACCATGCATGAGAAATACAGTCTAGAGGCAGCTTTTGACAGAATTTTTTTCTATATGTAAGTCCCATTTCAAATTAGAACTGATATGAACTCCCAGCAGTTTGGCAGGTGGAACTTGTTCGATTTTTATACCATCAATTATTAGGTTATCAGGTACAGTTGGTTCTTTACTGAAACAGATAAACAGTTCAACAGTTTATTTAGGATTAGTTAGCATGTTATTTTGTTTTGTCCATTCATGTAGTTTCGAGGCTGCTATGGGAAGTTTAGATTGTGTAGGTTTGGCACCTTGTTCTATTTCCCTTGGAGATGGTTGGTGAACTGTCTCACAAACTGTAGTGTCATCCACATACTTTACTGCTGGTAAAAACATTCCATGTCATTTATCATTGTGATGAAAAGGAGAGGTCCTAATTTTGAATATGGCACCATTGTGACATTACTGATCCACACTTGATCCATTGTTGTCTATTAAGTAAAAAGGCATGGACCCATCTGAGTAATACTGGAGGTACTCCATAGCTGCAGAGCTTGCCTAGCAATATAAGTTGAAATTGTGGTCTATTAAATCAAATGTTTTCAAAAATCAAGTAAAAAAACCCGAGCCCCATGAGTGTCACTGGCCTTGGCCCAGGTGTTAAATAGCTCGATTAAGGCCATTGTGTGGAGGAACCTTTAACATTGCCAACTGATCTTTCTTAATATGTGGTCCTAGTATCTCCCACAGCCATGTAAAATGAATGCAATTCCTTGCTGAGGATAGGTGTTAGGGAAACAGGTCTTGAATCATTTTCCACGCTCAGTGCTGGTTTAGTTTTAGGCAGTGGCACAACATTGGCACATTTCCAGATTGTTGGTGGCTTTCCTTGACTTATGGTATTGTTCCAGATTGCACATGCTGGTGCACCGAGAACTCCAGCAGTCTTTGAGAATCCAGTTCGGTATATTATTAGGGCCCGGGAATGTTAATATCATGTAAGTCCATCTCATCTAAGAGATCTAGGTGAGAAGTAATGGACTGGAAGAAGTTGTTGATGTTTTGTGCAAGTGCTTCCATATCCCCCTCATGGAGATGGTTGGCCATGGTGGTCAAAGAGGCACTGTTTTTAGATTTACCCATGATGTTGTTGATACCTTTCCATCATCTTTTTTCCACAAAGTTTTTTGCCGAGGCACAATACCTAATGTACATTCTGTGATTTTGTGGTATTTTATGTGATGTGATATTTACTGAAAGTTGAAAATTTTGTATGCTGTATTTCCAATTGAAAGGTATGATGCACTTAGACATTAAGTACTTTTTTGTTTATACATACAAGTGTTCAGTTTTTTATGCAAAGTTAATATTTTATAAACTGTTTACAGTAGTCAAAACTTAAGTAGATTAGTATATTTTTGCATGAATACTACATGTTAGTAGTATATTGTATTTTTGTTGAGTTGGAAAATTATGCTAGCTGTTTATTCAATTGTTTGGATGTACAAAAGCTCACTTTTTTTATTGTAAAAATATATTTTATAATCTGTTTACTTATTGAACCATGTACTAATCTACTAAACATTTGACTATAGTAATTCTTAACATTTTACAAATTGAAAGAGTTTTTGAGTGTTATTTCATATGTATATTAGCACTAGATTATATTTTTGAGGAGTTGGAAAATTTTATAATCTGTTTACTATAGTCAAATATTTAGTAGATAAGTACATGGTTCAATATTTTTGCACGAATACTAGTGCTCATATTTTTCATTTATACTTTGTGCAATGTGTTTTTTTTTCTCAGCCAAAAATATAAATAAAAGTGATATAAAAATGACCCAATTCTCAGCTGTTTCATAAATGTCCTATACACATTACTCTTCTTTTAACCCTTCTTTATACACAATATTGTCGCCCATGTTCAGCAAAAACAGCACACTTGTATAATTTTATCACAGCTGGATAAATTCTTTGCCATGTTCTTATCCATTATACTTTGAAGGAAAAGGAGGGGCAAATGGCTGTTTTTAATAGGCTAAAAACTATCTATTTCACCCTGGATATACACACCTCCCCCTAAATAAAAAGTCATATCTTCACAGGCAAGATTAAGCATGTTGATTTTTTACATGAAAGCATTATTTGCCTTTCTCTTGGCTAAATAATTGTTATCATGTAATACAGTTGAAGCTCAACAATCATAAAAGTAGGCCTACTTTTTTAAAAGCACTCACATCATTAGCTTTGTGATTCAAATAAATAAAGGTGGGTGGGGTCCTGGCAGGAGATTATTACAAAGAGAGGGGTTATGCTTGAGGGGGACGCCTTCATGAAATCAAAATGATCTAATATCATCCAACCGCTTCATCTGTCAAAACAATGGTATACTAGATAGTTTACTTTGGTAAAACACTGAAGGTATATGATAAAGAGGTCCGAAAGGGAATGTACCTGAGATAAAAAACTTTGTACATTTAGCTTTGTGCTAAGACTTCTCTATATTCAAGTAGGATAAACAAGTTATAAAAGAAAAATTGGAAATATGTGCATTCGTTGATACATTAGTCTAGTGGGTGGCCTTTTTTAAAAAGAACATAAACATTTAATTACCACAATGTCAAATAAAAAGGGTCTTGATACAGTCCCTCTGTTTCAATTAATTGGACGTGACATGTAAGAGTTGTCTGAAAGTAACATGAGCCCTTTAGCTTAATAGGGTTTCAACTGACCCATGTCCAATAGTACATGTCGCGCGCGTCTGTGTGGAGATAGATTTTGTTGGAGGTTTTGTTAGAGTTGAAAGCGACATGACTCTCAATGTCGCGCGCGTCTGTGTGGAGATAGATTTTGTTGGAGGTTTTGTTAGAGTTGAAAGCGCCATGACTCTCAAGGTCACGTCAAGTTCGTTTATAAAGTTCTGCTTATTTAACTGCGAAAACCACACGAGCCAAGTCGGTTTCGTGTGTAATAACTTTGTCATTTAAAAGAATAAATTCCACGGTAAAATACAAACGCGACTTGGCACAAGGCAATCTCGCATGTGTGGAACCTGTGTGTTACGAAATAAGCACAATTATGTCAATTTCGCGTTTTATAAGTTGCACAATAGAAGACGAATGCGGCGCAGGCCTATTCAATATCGCATCTATGGGTCTCAGTAAATGACGAACAAATCATGATAATGTGTATTTCGAATTTTTGAACATAGCCATTTGAAGCTCAAAAATGCACAGTAACAGACGAACGCGACATGGGTCGTGTCAATCTCGCATCTAACGCGTTCAGTTAGTGGCGAAAGAGACACAGCCATGTCTTTTTCGGCTCTCAAAGCTCTGTAGTAAAAGACGAACTCGGCATAGGCCTTGTCGTTTTCGCATGTAAAGGGGCGTCTGAAAGACGCACGCGCAGGCTCCTATGGGCCATGGTAGCTTCGCGCATTGTATTCGATCGCGACTGACTTGAATAAAGAATCGCAAAGGTATTTTGGCCAAGTATCGGAAAAACATTAAAGGGAGCAATGCGTCCAGCAAGTATTGGATAATAAGAACAATGGATGGGTGTGCCAGGGGGATTACATCAACTGAATAAATTATGTACAAGAATCGAGTGTGTCGGAATCTCAGGCGCTGAGTGATTTATGTATTCATTTATTTATTTATTGATTAATTAATTAATTATTTTATTCATAGTGTAACGCTAAACTATATTCACTTCAAGAATACCTTTAATCTTAAAGGGATAATAACTCTTCGTATAAGATCTATATTTCACAATAAAAACATTGTGAATAACTCATAGAAATATAATATATTCTGTTTTACCAAAAAAAAAAAAACGGCAGTTATAGCTATTATTCTGATATCTGAGCTTGTCCTTAGACTAAGTGACCTCCATTGATGACTATACTCTGTTAAAATCTCTTAAAAGATTTCAACAAAAAAAACAAACTTTTTAGAAAAAACCAGGGACTAACTTTGAATGTAAAAATGGATTCATTAACCATTGGTAAGTATGGGATAATTGTTGTTTACTCCAGGAAAATTCATTTTTTGGCCGAAACGAAGAGTTATTATCCCTTTAATTGAAACTTAAAATGCTGTTCTCCCCTTCTTTAAGAGTAGCCTAGGTCTCTTTCAATTAGAGGGAGTTTTTATCTTTTTTTATTTTATTTATTTATTTATTTATTGATTTATTTATTATTATTATTATTATTATTATTTTTATTTATTTTTTTTTTTTGCAAGTTAACTTCGCTTTGTTGATGCTGTCTTTGCCAACATCAATGCTTTTTACTGATACTGAATCAGTATCGGGGACCGTGTGCGTCAGTTCTTCAAACTCAGGGTGGGCTGAGCGTACGTTAAGAGAGTACTGGTCAGTGTCACAGATGTGGAAACCAACATGACAGTTGGTGCCCCAAACCGAGGGTGAAAACGAAGGGTCTAGTCTGATAATGTTGGCATAAAGGAATAAAGGAATACCCAGACGAGCGGGGGGTGGGGGTGGGGGGGGGGGACATACTTAAAGATTTGTTGAGTTAATTGGTAACATTTAATATATTTATTTTAATAAAAAAGATGTTTTATACTCGTGGTGTTTTATTCCAAACTAGAGGTTGTTGATCCATTTGAACACTCAAAACGGGATATTGATTGGCGTAATTTTGGCGACAGTGCTAGTTTTTCCTTATCTATTTACTCAAGCCACAACTATGTCACGACCTATGAAAATGACCTCACAAGATTCAATTACGTGCGCACCTGTCGAGGCAGCCAAGATGGCAGATGGTGACTCTATTCCGGTTTGCCTGGACGACGTAGAGGCAATTGCATTGAAAAAGATGTCTAAAAATGCCTACGATCACTATAGAAGTGGTGCCGATGATCAACAGACTCTCGGGGACAACAGGGCCGCTTTCAAGAGGTAGAATTATCAGAATTGCTATGTGGTAAACCATGCCCGTAGCCAGGGGTTTCGGGCGGGTTGGGGTTGTCGAACGAACCGCCCATTTTGTCGGGAAGAGGTCCCCTTTGGGTAAAATGATTTCTAGGTACACGAAATTTTCATGGTAAGAGGTCCATTTATTTTCAGAAAAAGAATAACCCTTTTGAAATTGCTGGCTATTCGGGCCTGTAAGTGAATGGTGTAGTATTACTGACAGCTACGTGCAGTTAAAGTGATGGTATGACACAGTGCAGTGATGCGTATTGAACCGTTTAAAATCACGTGGCTCTGTGAACGCATAATGGTGTGATGATGTTTTTTTTTTCTTCGAAAATGGCTATTAACTCACTGTTCACCTTTTTAGAAAAGATATCTCACAAGTGGCTGAACCCGTCAACCCTAGGTGCAATTTTGCTGCGGCATTTTTTTTTATAAATTTCTGGTCTACTACATACACCAAGTGCGAGTTTTCCCGAAGGAGTAACATCTCTTTAAAAAGCACAATTTCACGAATTGGGTTATTAACGGTATAAATGAAAGAAGAAAGGAATTTATTAAAAGACAAAGAAATTGATTAAATTTTTAAAAAATTCAGGAAAGAACGCACAAATGATAAATAATTACACCCCCTCGCTCATTTCTAAAAGAACAAAGTTACCGTGAAAGAGATTTTTTATGGTGGCTAGATAAGATTATAAAATAAAATTATTCTTAACTTAGAGACAAAATAACATCATCCAAACCCAATTAAGAACTTTTTCGCAAATGATGTTTTTATCTGTTGATTTCTACTTATCTAGATATCGACTGAGGCCAATGTTTCTGCGTCGAGACGTCTCCACGCGAGATCTCGTCACCACCATACAGGGCGTGCCAGTAGATTTCCCAGTCGGCATCGCGCCAACTGCCGTACAGCGCATGGCGCACCCGGACGGAGAAGTGGCAACAGCCAGAGGTTTAAAAAAAAAAAAAAAAAAAAAAAGAAAAAAAAACGTGACCCGTTTATTATGCAGGCTTTATAAACGATGTAGATTTTTGTGGTTTGCTGCCGCTGATTTATATAAACTTAAGTGCGATTTCATTGTCCGACCACATGCTAAGATTCTTTTTAAACCGCGAAGGTTTAGAATTTAAACTTAGAATTCAAAAAGCTAGAATTGTATCATTCGTTTGATATCTCCAAAGGAAAGCAATTACCATCACGCATATGAAAAATGCATGTATTTATTTATTTGTTTACATGTACCAAAATATATTTTAGCTGCAGCGTCAGTGCGTTCTTGCATGATCCTCAGTACATATGCTACCTCCACAATGGAAGCGGTCGCCGACGCCACACCAGATGGCCTGCGCTGGTTTCAGCTCTACGTTTTTAAAAACCAAAAACAGACGGAGGATCTTATACGTAGAGCTGAGCAGAGCGGCTACAGGGCATTGGTGCTGACCATTGACTGCTACCATTCAGGAATGAAACGAGCCGATATCAGAAACAAGTTTACTTTGCCAAAGCACCTAAGGTACAGTGATGATTCTACCACCGCTTTCTTAGAGCAATATATTTATTCATTTATTTATTTATTTATTTATTTATTTATTTATTTATTTATTTAGTTAGTTTGTTAGTTAGTTAGTTATTTAATTAGTTAGTTAGTTATTGAAGAAGAAAAAGTCTGTTACTAATAGTAAGTGTTATTAAATATTATATACCAATGCATAAAAATAAATAGCAGCAATGGTAAATGTATATTTATCCCTTTACAGAACTGAGAATTTATCCGACGACGGAAAGCCATATGACGGAGTGTGTGGACTTGGATTTGCACCGTTGTTATGGAGTGATGTGAAGAAGTTGAAAAGTTTCACAAAACTCCCTGTGGTTGTTAAAGGTGTTCTCACAGGTAGAGATCGATCTGTCCACACTGTAATAATAATCTAAATGTTAACAAGTTGTTTAGAGTCTTACAATGTACGTTAGTCATTCAAGTGAGATAATAATAATAATAATAATGGAAACTGGGTAACTTAGAAACTTGTGAGAGGTATCATTTCTATGATGTTCAAAGGCATGGCCAATTATTTTTTAAAAAAGTTAAGAAGTTAACATTTTTTCCAACTTCAAAGGGGAACTTTCGTTCGTTTACCTCCAGGAACTTAACACTTATACTTATTGCGGTAGTTGAGAGCACATCCATTGCACAACAAGGCATGACATTGGCTCTGTCTTGCAGTGCAGAAACCACCAAACAATTCCCCCATTGACCACCATACTAGCATATGCCTGCACAATGGCACGAGCAGAATACTTTGGAGAAACATTGCCTTATCCTCCTGAACAGCAGACACATTGAAATAAAATATATCATGACCAAACAAATATCTTACAGATTGCACTCCAACATGTACACCCCTCTTTGTTTGTTTTATTTTGCATATTATATTGTTCTTAAAAGATTCATCCATTGAAACATCCATTCGCTTATATATTCATTTATTAAATCATTTTGTCTTAATGCTTGTGCACTTCTGTTTGTTTGTTTTATTCTGCATATTATATTGTTCTTAATATGAAACATCCATTGGCTTATATATCCATTTATTTAATTATTTTGTCTGAATGCTAGGTGAAGACGCCGTCAGGGCAGTAGAGAGTGGTGTAGACGGGATCATGGTATCAAACCATGGAGGGCGTCAGCTCGACGGTGTGCCTGCCTCGGTAAAAATTGGAAGAAAGTCCTCTTTGACACACACATACACACACACACACACACGCACACACACGAAGATAGATAGATAGATAGATAGATAGATAGATAGATAGATAGATAGATAGAAAAAGAAAGAAAGAAACAAAGAACATTTTGGTGGAATTTGGTACTGCCATAGTCAACATAATATTCACCACTGACATGTTCTGCATAGTTGTCTTTCTTTTTAATTCATGTCTCGTAAATGTCTCGGTGTCGTTTCTGTACTCTTATGGCCCTAATATCCACTCTACTTAACTGTATGTTAGAAATATTTCCGATACGCATTGGCGCCTCTAAACCTCTAAACCTAGGCGTAACATATTTGGCTCACATCCACACGTTATATATGTTCTAATTTTTTCTTTCTGTATTTGGTTTTGTCTGCATAGATAGACGTGTTGTCCGAGGTTGTCCAAGCTGTCCAGGGGCGGTGTGAGGTCTACCTAGACGGTGGGGTTAGGTCAGGGACCGATGTTCTTAAAGCTTTGGCGCTTGGCGCACGCGCAGTCTTTATCGGCCGACCTGCGCTGTACGGATTGGCTTACAATGTGAGGATGTAACAGTCACATATATAATTACACCTCGATTGTTTTATTTAAGTGTTTTAATTCATTCATATGTGACATGTATGTTACATGAGCAAATTTAGACAGCATTAGGTTGGAAATACAGTTGACTTCTCTGTCTCTCTCGTGAATTTACCTTTTTATACAACATTTATGTATTATCAACTTGTGCACCCTCCAAGTAAAACTATAATTCCATCAGTATTTGCCAGTGAAGTCTCCTTTACGGTTAAGCATTCTCGAGACCGTCCTGCCCCATCCCTGCGTCCCCTTCCGACCCCTCCTATTGTGATGGCCAATGGAGTATCTACTGGGGAACAGATACGCTGTAATAAAGCCCACCGGAATCACAGAACTTGTTTTGACACTTCTTTGAGGATGCCCCGCTACAAGTCCAAGAAAACACTCTCAGTGGCGCCCTACTCTTCTAGTGGCTCCACCTGCCGTACCCTACACACACCACAGATCATCTAATACATGTATGATGGGTTATTTTAGGGGGAAGCAGGCGTGAAATTGGTTCTACAGATGTTGAGAGATGAACTCAGCTTGGCAATGGCTCTAGCAGGTATAATCCAGATAAAGTACCGGCAACTCCTATGTGTTTGTTTAAATAACAATTATTCACACAGATATGTATTGAGATAAAGAGGTTTTCTTTTTAAATTACAAGCTTGTTCACAGTCATCATCTTAGATTTTTTTCTTCCCTGCTTTTAATGGGTGAGGTAGCTGTTGATAACCCCGTATTTTTCGCTGACCTTTAATTATATATATTATACATAGTAGTTTGTCTTATTGTTTGATTTGGCCACAAGTTGTGGATTTAAGATTTTCTACGGTTCTTAGCAGATTATTTTTCTACAATTGTGCTAATATTTTAAGTATCTGTTTATTCTCTTTTATAGGCTGTGCCAGCATCGGGGATATCAAGCGTTCTTTAGTTGTCCACGAGAGTCATTATCTGCAACCAAAGCTGTAATTTCCATTATACCCATACTTATTTATTTATTTATTTATTTATTTATTTATTTATTTATTTATTTATTATACACATGGTGTAATATGTATTTTATATAAGTCTTTGTCATCCAGTGTTACCTAGGGGACATATTCCTAATTAAAAAGTGTTATTGTTACAAACAAGATGCCCTCAGCAAAGACACTTGGGAGCATAATATAATTCTGATTTGTTCAGAATTACCCATGTGCCATAGCTTGGAGTTCTCCGTAAGGTGATGTAAAGCAGACTCTGGTTGGTGCATCCTATCTTATCGGGTACCAATAGGAAAGAGTGTCTCTCGGAGATAAGGAGGCAAACTTTGCGGTTGTGATGACGATGTGATGTGATTCTCAGTAATTATGTATATTAGCTTTGCACCGAGTAACCCCCTGATTTGCTGACGACCTGTTGACCAATGTCAAATTGCTTACTGAAACCACGGAGAACCAGAGTTAATAACTGGTGATTTCACCACTTTAAATAGCACCCAACTTTTACATAATCAGGGACATGTATGAAAGGTACAAGATCTTTTTAATAATCTTTTAAAGACGTTTATATAGCAAGTCTTGTTAAGCTCTCAAAGAGAACCGTATGGAAGATAAGTGTACATTTAACATGTTTTACCCTCCTTAGATAAAGTTTATTATTATTATTATTATTATTATTATTATTATTATTATTATTATTATTATGCTATGTATATGTCGTTTTTCTAAATGTAGGTGATTTTTACAATCATGATTAACAATTAAGGGTTCTTTCCTTAACATACTTAGAACAGGAGAGTTTATTACTTACTAAGGAAGTTTATTACTGTATTCAAACTTATGAATGTTAACACATGAATTGGACAACAAAGTAATTTATTTATCCACATCATGGAAGTACGAAACCCAACACCACTAATGAAGTACCATATTTCTGTAGAACTGAATCATGGGCAAAAATTTAAAATATGTACAGTTCGTTAAGACATAACAACTGCATAAATCTAACAATCGGTTGATTATTTTGGAAGAAAGGTAAAATATTAGTGTGATGATGTCCGTATGTACTGTACCAGAGGTAAACTAAAGAAGAAAGAAAAAGACAGAAAAAAGCAAAAACAAAAATGAGGAAACGTCTAGTAACTAAACAGTGCATATACTCAGTGAAATAATGTTATGACAAAATCCAGATTTTCCATACGCACGATATCAGCTAATGTGCAACCAAGGCATTCTGCCGTATGTTCAACAACATGTTCGGAAAATTCCAACACCTGCACAATAAATCCCAACGACAAAGACATTTACGGAAACACTGACGGAAAGAGTGTCTTATAAATATTTTGAGCGAGGTACGTCAGGCGGTTTCCGGTGCTCGGGTCTGGTACCACATTGGAGTACGTGCGGAAGAAGGTTGGAAGCAAATCACGGACGAGGCCTTGGTAGAACAAAGTAGAACAAGGGGATACTTTAGTCTTTGTATCATTTTATTTTTTACATTCTTCATTTTTTTTTTGATCGTTATTATTAAGTACAGCCTGTCTTCTTCCTGGTCGTAGTCTGCGTTTAAGAGATATCATCTAAATTATTCAAAGATATGGGATTTTCACCCTTAGTTAAGAGAAAAGAAAACAGTTATTTTCACTTGCAGGAGTCATTATACCCTTGTGATAACTGTCAATCAACCACAAGTTATACGTGTACACCCGGCGGTGTCAGGCATTTTAATGTAAATTAAAATGTCCCATCAATGCCAGATATATTTCGGTAAACTGGTAAAAAATACTGAGTCTCCACGAAGTGTGAATAAAATGGTTCATATATTCATATTTCACAAAAATAAAAAGTTGGTCAGAGTTATTGATACTGCGTCAACTTTGGAAACTCGGGAGATTGAAATAATAATTGAGAATTGTATTAAAATATCGTTGACGGTCTCTATAGACCGATTATTGCTATTTAGATCCAAGACAATTGCACACCATCTCTGGAAAATTGAAATAATAATAGAGAATTATGATAATAGTTATAACGCTATTTCTAGATGGGCGTTATAGTTTCGAACGACTGGTCATGACTCTAAACGTACATTAGTATTGTTAACGGTCTCTATAGACCGATTATTGCTACTTAGATCAAGACAATTGCACACAACAGCTTTACGGAAGCACGAAAATAATTTAAAGGGATAACAACTTTTCACGTGGGATTCAAAATCCTATAATATATACATTGTTAACAACACCTAGAAATGTAATAAATCACATTTTACCACCAAAACAGCGGTGAATTTTGGAATTAGCCTGTTTTTACCTTCTTTATTTTTTGTGGTCATTCTTTATGGAGAAACATTTAAAAAATACACGTAGAACGTCACTCTCTAGGAAATTAGTAAGGATGTAATTAAAGGTTTTCATGATTTTCAGTCGAATCCTACACATTTTTATAATTTCAGGGGTTCAGAACAGGAAACCCTATAATTTACATAGTAAAATTACTGGATTCAATATACTTGATGTTTTATAGGGGCGTCATTGTTGATCGTTCGATTTCATTGTTTACCTATTCATTTATTTACTCATTTATTAATAATTTAGTTAGATGGGGGTTTTAATTCAATATTTGTTATTTTACGTAAGGTGTCTACACACTTAGGAGGACGCTCAGTCAAGAAGAGAAGAAATCTGAAATTATGTTTAATATTACATAACATCCACATAAATCATGATGTAGTATAAATCTATTCTGCACATGCAGTCGCTATTTTGCTGAAAGTTTGGGTCGTATACATTCACTTTTATCATAACGGCAGAGAGTTGAAATACGCATATACAGGTATAATGCTAAACATCTGTTTCAGGTTCATAGTGTCTACATTAAATAATGGAGTGATGATGAAGATAGCGGTCGAACTACATTGCGATGATTATGTTTTACAATTCTATGAAAATGCACATATAAAGATGAAACACACTATATCGAGTAAGATGTATTTCTTTTTTTTTTCTGTACATTAAGGTGCAATCCTGCAGTTCACATTTACCCAAGGCTGCTGAACGTGCAACATTAATCTAAACTTAAACGGCATACCAGAAGCATGCAGACGCACGGGTAAAATGATGCTTAATATTGTTTGTTTCCCACTATATGACTCATCTTGCATTTGCATACTCCGGATATTCAATATATAAAATATCAGCTATTTTCCAATAATGATAAAAGGCATTTAATGTTTAACAACACGCACAGGCAATCCCCGATTTGTGTGCACAACAAATCCCGACGATAAAGGCAGTTACGGAAACACCGACGGAAAGAGTGTCTTATAAATATTTTGAGCGAGGTACGTCAGGCGGTCTCCGGTGCTTGGGTCTGGTACCACATTGGAGTACGTGCGGAAGAATGTTGGAAGCAAATCACGGACGAGGCCTTGGTAGAACAAAGTACTCCCGTTCACGAGTGGCGTGTTCACAGGTGGACCTGCAAAAGACACGTGACATAAACACGTGACGTATTGAACAAGGTGTTGACAGCTTAGTCGTAGATTGTACAGGTAGGGATTCCATTATGCGGATAAACTGTTGAAGCTTACTACGAGGAATGTGATAATAATCTAAAAAAATTATATGAATACATCCATACCACATTTTAAAATTTTTTGTCAATCTTTAATATCAAACGTAGCTGACTTAATCGTTTGGATGTGGATCTCATACAGGTCTCCAAAACAAAACAAAATAAATAAATAAATAAATAAATAAATAAATAATACAAAAAAAACCTAAGGGACCACGTTTACTCGTTGAAACTTACTTGTGTTAAGAACTGCGCATTCGTCAACGTTGCAGTAGTAGATAGGCGTAATGTCCACGGTGAACCGGTCGTTAAAACTGCATATGAGACTTGTTATTGGCTGCAATAAAAAAGTTTTAAAAAGGAGTTTGAAAAATACGAATGATGATTATTATCATCGTAGGCAAATCCAAAAGACGCCGCTGCTTTGGCAGTTATCCTCTGCAATTGCTTACATGAGGGTACACTGTAGCAGGATAGGTTGTGGGAAGCAGGGTAACAAATGGATAAATGTTTTCAGTATAAAAGTGAAAGAACACAACAGATAAATAATAATAAATAAATAAATAAAAATATGAAAAAGAATGTGCTTACCGTGATAAAACGTGCTATGTCTGAGGTAATCCCGAAGTTGAACTGCGGTGGGATATCTGTATTGGCAAGGCTGGCAACGCCAAGGCAGTCCGTCGCCCTTAGGTTGCAATCTGTGTCCGTGGTGCATGGAGAGCCTTCAACTATATATATTTTTTACGAAAATCAGAACATTATGTATAAACAACAAAAAACAACTATATTGATTTGAAATAAATTATCAAAATAATGATTATAACTGGACTAAAACAACACCAACAATAACCATAATAATAATAATAACAATTACATGAAAGGCAATTATGTGTTTTGTTATCATTGAATGTTGTAACAAGGTATAATAAATCATAACAATAATAATGATAAATACTTGTGACGCATTCGGAAACAAACGTCGCATCCACTACTGGACTAGGAAAAACGGAGGTAGGAAGTGTAAACGGAAAAGACCCCGGTGGGCACATACAACGGAATCCAGTGGCGGTGAAGGCAAGGAACAGCGGGTTAAATGTACAGATGGGAGGCACAGCGTTACTGCCAAGTAACCCGTCTGGTATACACTCCATCTGCGTGCTTGCATTCTGGTATGCGTTTGGTACAGTGCACTCGCTGAATACAGTATTGCCTGAAAAGTTAAGAAGTAAAATAATTAATGGTGAACGTTTGCGACATTTACAATGCCAAAATAAATAAAACTGACTATGGCGGCAACGACTATGTCATATACAGTAGGTGTGAACTGAACTGAGTAAACTATGGCACTTTTATGTATATGATTAAACACATTCGTTCAGGATATCTTAAACCATTTTTGTTCAGCTAATTCTCTGTGAGCGACTCACCCATGTTGACTTTGAATTCCACAACGTTTTGAGTCTTAATTAAGACAGTAATAACAGTAAGTACACGACTTGTTGAAAAACTTGTTAGAATCCTTAATTTATCCACACGCCAGCTAGGTACGGCAGCAGTACAAATGACGATATGGAGGGGAGACATCGGTCCTTATATTATTAATTTTTTTTTAATTTGTCACAGTTTTTCTTGATCGTTATTATAAAGTGCAGCCGGTCATCTTTCTCGCCGTACCCTGCGTTTAAGAGATGTTATCCAAAATTATTCGAAGATACGGAGTTAGCACCCTTAGCTCAGTGAAAAGTAAATAGTTGTGTTTATCACTTTCAGGAATTATTACCGTCGTGCATCAACCACAGGATATACATGAACGCCCGGCAGTGTCATGTATAAACATACCGAAAACGCATGTTTTACTTGGTAAAATGGTCGAAAATAACTGCACAAGGTGTGCATGTAATGGTTCTTTTTTTCATATCTAACACAAATCAAGAAGATGGTGACTGTTATTGCTTCTGAGTAAGCGTTTTCTGTTGGAAATATGGTAAAATTGCAGTAATAATTGTGGGTGTTGATCAGAATCCGCATAATTCACTTTAAAAGATTAAAGGCTTTGAATATTGCAGATATATCTTTGTAAGTCTTATATTACTCCTTTTTTTTCAATTTCTTATCGTTCTCTTATCATTTTTTTCTGGATGTGGTTATTCTGTAGGAAAAAACATTTTTTGAAATGGAACGTCACTTCCTGATAAGGCCACACTTTTTTATTTTTATGGATGACATCCTCTGGGTACCCCAAAATCAGTGCGAGAGGGCGAAAAAAAAAACAGTCTAAAAAAAAAAAATACTGCTTAAGTAAAGGAATGCTGTCAGTACATAGCTGGAAACACAAATTTTACCACAGAAACACGTATCAAACTAACAATACAGGCCCATAGCCAGGGGGGTTCGGGGGGTTCGAAAGAACCGCCCCTTTTGCTGGGAAAAGGTCCACTCTGGGTAAAATTTGATCTAGGTACATGGTGTTTTTTTATGGGAAAAGGTCCACTTTTTCAGAAAAAGAACCCCCTTTTTGAAATTGCTGGCTACGGGCCTGCAATATGTCTTTATCCATGCTCTCAAAATATTAAAGCATTGTGAATACTTCGTAGAAATGTAAAAAAAAAGTCATGAATAGATATACCTCATATTACCAAATCTATTTAAGGTTATTTCATGCATTCTTAATATTTAATAAAAAATTTATATTTTGTATCTTCTTGATTAAGCGTCCTCTTTCTCATCGCGTAACTCCGCCTTAAGTAAGTAGTAAATGACTACATGTATATAGTAATATAGTAAATAATAAGTAAATATTGAATTACAAACTCCATCTAACTAAATGATTGAATGAATGAATAAATGAATGAATAGATAAACAATGAAATAACACCTTTACACTAGTGCTATTTTACTAATGTAACCCAGCTTATATGAACGTTAAACCATTGTTATAAAACATGGATATTGAAACCGGTATGTTAACAATGCAAAATCTAGGGTTTCGCAGTAAGAACTCGAGATCTTCTCATAAACCTGTGGCCAGAAATATCAAAATGCGCCGAACACGACTGAAAATCATCAAAAACTGCCATAAGTTACCATCCAAAGTTAGTTAGGCCACACTTTTTTATTTTTATGGATGANGAAAAGCGGTCGCTTTGCCGTCAAATTCATCTCTAGGATCACCTTCAAATCACACAACAATAAAAGTCATAAAGAGAACGGGCGCCGTCGTTCTGGATTGGTATGCCATTGATATTGGGCATGGAGATATCACCTTTTTACAATTGTGCGAAAGGCTGGCGGCAGCCAGCAATTATCGCCCGAAAACTTTCTGTGACATTCTGTACAAAGCAGCACATTAATACCAGGTTTTCTGTAGCGAAAAAAGGGTCGACAAGGGCGTCGAGGTATTTGGTGGGCTGAAGGTCGGACAGGCCACCTGACAGTTTGGCTGCTTCGTGTGAGTTGAAGTAGACAAAATGGCATCGTCCGAAATGACCTTTAATAGATTTGGTAGTATTAAGCATATCTTTGCATCATTTTTTATACATTTCTGTGAAGTGTTCAAAATGCTTTAATATTCTGAGAATACAAATAAAGACACACTGTTTGATTGATATTTGTTTTATTGATTGCTATATTTTTTTAATTTTTATTAAATATTAAGAAACGATGAAACATACCTCGTAAATTAAGATATACACTGATGCTCATAAGTTAAGCAACACCCCGATTTTTTCAAAAGTTTCTTCTGTCATGATCATTATTTCACTTGTTGGTGGGATTATGCATATTTCTTTCATATTTTATAAATAACTTATTCATGTTGAATATTTCGGTTAAAGAAATACACCACATAGCTTTCTGTAATAATCAAAATAACTTTATTAACCAAACGGTACTAAAATATGCCAAACCATGTGTCAAAAAAGTATGCTCACACAGCATAAAGTACGTGCTGATTAAAACAGCTTATTATGAAAAAATAAAGTTCAATCATCTAAGAATTAGTTTTAATAAAAGAAGACTGTAGATAATAGACGATTTATCGTCTATTATGCAATAAATGTCGGGTGTGCCTTCCCTGGTTTTGAACAACAGCTTCAAATTGTCTCCTGCAACTTGCCACCAAATTCTGCCAATCTTGCTTTGGGAGCCGGTTCCATTTTTCATTTACTGCCTGCTGGACCTCTCTAATGTTTCTAACTGGAGGTTGTCTCCCATTTACTGCCCTGTCAATCATATCCTAAACATGTTCGATTACATTGAGAATTGGTAAATATGCAGGCCAATCCAAATGTGAGATACCGTGCTGTTGCAGCGCGTCTTGCACGAACCGTGCTTTTTGGATAGGCGCATTGTCCTGCACCAAAATGATTTTTCTTCCTGGATTTGCTTGAATGTGTGATTGCATGCGCCCCAATGGTATTTCGTCTCTGTATTGTTGACCAGGGTACCTCCCTTGATTGACGTACAGTGGCAATTCTTCATCATATGAGAAACCGCACCATGCTATAACGGATACTTCACCTACCTGAACACGCAGAAGAACACAATCATCCTGAAATGCTTGGTTTGGACGTCTCCAGACGCCTAGCCGACCATCTGCATACTTCAAAGTGAATCTGGTCTCCGCAGTCCACAGAACCTTTTGCCCATCCCATTCCATCCTGAGATTCCATCTTTCTCGGTATCTGGCTCATGTCTATCTTATTTGCTTGTGTCTATTGGTCAACTGTGGCTTTTGACGAGGTCTTTTAGATGGAAGTTTAGCTTCTAAAAGATGCTTGTTGACTGTTTGTCTTCTGATTCAAGCCCTTCCTAATCCAGGACAGATGTTCCTCAGTTGTTTGGCCGATATGAACTGGTCCTGGTGGCATAATTGAACCAGATATCTTCATCTCTTGGGTCGGTTAATATTGGTCTACCAGAAAGAGGCTTGACCAATACATGATGAGTTTGGTGCCATTTTGTTACCAGCTTGGACACTTGACTTGGTGCTATTTTTTGTTGCCTTGCAATCTGTCTCTTTGGCACCCCAGCACGATGGCTTCCCATTATTTGCCATCTGATTACCTCGTTGAGTCCTCTTCTAACCATTGGTTGGTCCAAAATAACAAATTGTGCTCATGAAACTAGCCAAACTGGAAGCACCTTATGGCATGGCCAAACTGTGTTCTTCGCAAGTGGCACCCCCACTGCATATTCCACCGTGTCCAACAGTAAATAGTAATCTAATGTCACGGTCCAGTAAGTCAAAGTAAAAACAAGAGAAATATCTAGCTACTGTACAAATTTTGCCTCAATAAAAATTTTGGTTGCTGACAAATTCGAGAAATAAGAAAGTGTTGCTTAACTTATGAGCATCAGTGTATATATCTATTTCGAACATGGAGATGTTATTTTCGGAATGTTTGGACCGTATACATTTACTCATCATAGCTGAAATATGCGTGCACAGGTATAAAATGCTAAACAACTGTTTCAGGTTCATAGTATTTGCCTAAAATAATGGAAAGATGACAAAGATGAACAGCCGAACTAAACTGTGGTTATTTTGTTTTACACTACTATGAAAATGCACATATAACGATGAAAGGCTCCATATCAAACAATATGTACATTTTGAACATAGAGGTGCAAGCCGTGGTTCACATTAATTCAGACTTGCTGCCGGGACGACAAAATCTGAGGCAACGCCAAGGCAGTCCGTCGCCCTAAGGTTGCAATCTGCGTCCGTTGAGCATGGAGAGCCTTCAACTTGGAATGTAGATTTTAACTCATTTAAAACGTACAAACATTCGTCGTGCTTTAAAAATTAATATTTTACAATAAATACCAGGCCTACCTAACACCAGATTCGACACCGAATGATCCTGAATTCACCGGTATATCGGACCACAATACCCGTTTTCAAGGTATGTATCAGTACGCACTTCTCAGTTTCTAACGCGACACCGTTCTTGCCTAGTACGCGCTGTGATAGTGATGATTTTCAGCGGGTTTGCAAAGTAGTGTATCTCATCTCAAATTTTCTTCCGATAAAATTTTCTGAAACTGTGAAATGCGTACTGACGCACACCTTGAAAACGGGTAGTGTGGTCCGATCTACCGGTGAATTCAGGATCATTAGGTGCCGAGCCTGGTAGTTGGGTAGGCCTGATAACAGGAAAGTAACAACAATAACGACAAATATTATTATTATTATTATTATTATTATTATTGAATGGAAGGTGTTACAGCGTGATTTAAATTATTTTGGTTTTCCACAGGTATTTCCTTACACACTATGAGACCGTTCATATGATTCACTCCAAGCGCAGCCAAGAATTAATTACAGCTTTGGAAGTAACTGGGTCGCGCTGCCAGTAATTACGCCGCGGGGTATTCAGGGCACAGACCGTGATCACAAGATACCGCGAATAGAAAATAGATTTTTAGAAAATAGATTTTTCATATGAACGGTCCCATAGTATAACTAATAAAAATTAAATGATAAAGATACAGTGTATGATAATATAAGTGATGACACTTACTATTGAAGCAGACTGTCACAACCTCTGCAGGCGGTGCATTAGGTATAGCAAAGCTCGGAAAAATGAATGGCCACGTCCCCGGCGGGCACAGGCAGCGGAATCCAGAGGCGGAGAAGAGCAGGAAGAGCGGGTTAAAGGTACAAACGGGACTTGTAGAGGCGCTGCCACATTGTGCATTCCGTCGCCGTGGTTATGTTCTGGTAAGCGTTTGGTAGAGTACACTCACTGAATAGGGTATTGCCTGGAAAGTAGACAAGCCAATTAATGATTTGATAGGGGGTTTTATGATATTTGCCATTCCTCTCCAACCCCGAAAAGTTCATTTATACGTAATTAATTATCATAAAATTGATTTTAGTCACGATATATTCCAGTACTCTTCTCAATTATTTACAGATTCACATGTTAATTTTATATTCAGTAAGTTAAATCCATAATGATTTTCACTTTGGCTTGGCATTGGTCCAAGCGGCCTTCACTGGACAAATATTAATCAACCTATGTTAGTGTGTGTGTAGTGTGTTTTCGTTAATTCTTTCTTATACTACGTGAGATGGAGAAAATATGAATAAATATTACATCACATGCAAAAGCTTCTCTACGAGCGACTGACCCATGGTATATTGGCAGAAAACTTCACAGCTGTTTGAAACGTTAGGAAATAACAATGCAGTACAAACTGAAAACTTGCTGGAATCCTCAATTTATCCGCACTTGGCCTAGCTATAGAAGTGATGCAAATGAAGACATCGGTGGAGAGACATCGGAGACACCTTCATTATTCTAATTATCATAGGACGCATTCAAAGCAGCGCACTAATTATTCCACGGGTCAAATATGGCCGACCCACTTGAATACTTCCCCATGGCGAATATATCCAATCTCTATTCGCGGGTTACACGGCAAGGTATTTAGTCGGTCGACATATCTGGCGCGCGGAGTAGTTAGTCCACTGTTCGGAATGCTGCCTTATATATTCATCATAATTGTGGTCAACCAGTCATGCTATCATTTAAGAGATGCTATCTAAAATTATTCGCAGACATTCAATTACAGTGCCCAGCTCGAGGGAAAGTAATAGCTATAATAAGCACTCGCAGGAGTCTTCACCGTTGTGATAACAGTCTATCAACCACAAGATATACATGAACGTCCGGCAGTGTCGTGCATTAATATCCCGTTACGCCTCGTACTTCGGTAAGCATGAATTCCATCTTCTAATGTGTGTAATTCACTCTTAAATTGTCATTTTACCATCTTAGTACATTGAATATTTTAGTTCCTCAACTATGAGGGGCACTGTCATTACGTAATGCTCCATATATGAATAAATCAGCATCATCATTATTATTTCTAGTTAACCCGTCTAGATAATAGACAATTGGTATTACAAGATTTCTTATGATGATTAACCTATATTTATTGAAAATCCAGCATCTGCGCGACTTGTAAAGGAGCATGTACTGTAGTGAACCACTAATAGTACCGATAGTCTTCCAAATATGCATATCTCATGTATGCAAATTCAGAAGACTATTTGTGGTTCACTACACATAAATGTGTACCTTGTATTATGGCTTAACATTCTATCAATTACAGTAAATAAATAGTTGTCGGTTAAATAGGTTTAAAAAAGATTAAGCTCCTTAATTTTTTTTGGTAAAAAAGGGAGATATGTGTAGGGAACCACTAATAGTAATGATAGTCTTCTAAATTTGCATAAATGAGATATGCACATTTGTTTTAGCTTTAATTATCCAAATGTATATAAAGACATGCCATGCTGCATGTCAGTTATGGAAATTCATTTAAAATTTAAATTAAGAGTATAAAAGCAGCGACAGATAGACAGAGAGAGATATAGAGAGCCATATAGATAAACATGTAGATGGACGTTGTGAGATAGAGACACATATTATGATACATATCGTGAGAGAGAGAGATGGAGAGAGAGATGGAGAGAGAGAGAAAAGATACCTGAGCTTTACACTTAAATAAACCATGTAGCAGAAAACTATACCTGCCTGTCTCAGTTGTCTTACTGGTGAAAAGTAAATCAAAGAACCTGAATAACCAACCTGCTGGTTATTACAATACGAGTCACAGCAGTGTGAACCAAAAATAAATAATTGCGTAATATAACAGTTTATTTCTACAAATTAAAAGTTTAATAAGTATGCACATTCCTGCTATTTAACATCCAGAATACACAAATACCTTAAAATAAGCATACAACATTCCTCTTCTATGCATAATATTTACATAAATACATTCTTAATGAGACAGTTTTGAGGAATAGTCTATAAATATGTACAGCATGCTTCAATTAATGAAGTAATTAATTTACTGTATCAAGGGCATCTATAGAAAATAATATTTCTAGGTGAATCATGACATTTCATGGGGATTGATCGACCACAATTCAAAGTGATAGTAAAATCAAACTAGGTAAATACACAAAAATGCCCATCTAGCTGTTTTACCTTGCCCCAAACTTAAAACTTTCTCTTACGACCTTTTGACTTTAGGAAGATCGCCATGAAAGGAAGCCATGCATCGTATTATCCAAATACGATGTCAAACAAAATATAGTTCGCTGTGGAAAGGAATGTCAATTTCTAAGCCACTTTTTATTTATACCGTACAGTTCAATGGTTTATGATTACATATGTTATTTGTGGCTTACATCTAGCACCGTTCTACAGTACATATACATTTCAGCAGTATCCGTGTATGGCAAACTTTGAAAGGGTGGGCGATTTATTTGAACATAATCAAATATTCAAAGACATATGCTTCAACACCTTTTCGACACAGACATGCTTTCATTGTTGCATTTGTATATAACAATGTCCGGTGCTCTCAGATGAAACGTTTCACAAATAAATGAAACCTTACCTTACCAATAATAACAACAATAATACCACCAATTTTTACTAGTTATCATCTTTCTGTAAAGTTCATAGTAAAATAGTAGACAACGAATTCTCAAAAATTAAATATTATCTATACACGTAATCAAAGGCAACAGATTATGATAACTGAGATTAAATATTTCGACTATCCGATAATATATACTGCTTGTGAAAGAACAAGTGAGAAACAGACAACGAAGAAAAAAGAATAAAAAGACATAAACTAAGAGAAAGAGAAGTTGAAACATCCAGCGCATGTAATAAGACCTTAACTGTAATCAACGAGGTAAAAACAACGGTATTATTTACATATTCAATAAACATAATACGCTATAAGCTACTGTATGTTTTAGACATGGGATATTTCCAATGGCACTTGTACTCAACGCAGGAATCGGCGCAGCCATTTACTATGGCGGAAACAGTTTCCTAAAGACCGTCGTGTAGATATTTTGAGCGAGGTACGTCAGGCGGTTCCCAGTACTCGGATCTGGCACCACATTGGGATATGTTGAGAATAAAGACGGAAAGAAATCTCTGACAAGACCTTCGTAGAAAAGAATACTTCCGTTCACAACTGGCGCATTCTCCAGAGGACCTGCAAAAACCATTGAAAAAGACATTTGATACAGTAAGAGAACGAAGGTGATGATTATGTACCAGGAATCTATATAAAACTACCATAACACATAAACTATTGGAACTCTCTGTAATAAATTAATAAATAATTTGGTGCATTCCACTATATATCCACATTAATGAATCATGGCAGCTTTTTCTATACTGCTCCTGCAGCAGTGGAGTCAACGCCTTCCATTCCCTCAATATCACTAATGTTTTCCAAGGCTGTTATGGGATGTATTTAAATCATATCATGCTTTTCTAACATATTTCTCTTATCGGCTTCTTCTAATGCTCATCTTCTTAACTCTTTGTTACCAAATGAAAAATAGATTTTGTTGACTTTGAGGTGTAACTTAAACTAATGCCCAAATAATATAAATGGGAATATGAAGGCGGCGGCCCTGTCATTAAAGAGCACGATAACATCTTAAAACTCACTCGTGTCGTATTCCACGCAGCTGCCTGCGTTGCAATAGTAGACGGGCGTGACATCAACGGTGTAGCGATCATTGAAACTGCAAATCACATTAGTTATCGCCTGAAATTTAAAAAAAAATGGATGGAATGTAACAATGCATAGGTTCACAAAATGCATGCTATGATTATACATAACACAAGTGCATCCATACAAATATGTCATTCACAACTCCTTTACGTTTTCAAAACATAATGGCTGGTTTACCTTGGACTTTGCCTGCAGACAAGGTCCTTGAGCATGGGCAACATTACGAAATTATCTTCATGTTTTGAGGGAGTGATTAATTTGGTTTATGCAATGGCATGGCTACTTTTTTTGTGAGTCGTATAAGAAACTAATTAAAGTGGTTTATATGCTTTATAGGAAATCCACGCTTGCTTCATATGTGACTATACTGGAAATACTGACCAAGTTGTGACACAGACTTTATCCGATGTGCTTGTTGCGACAATAATATCTTGATTGCGTGTTAATGTGTGTCTTTCTTACCTACCAACATACAGGTAGTCCACCGAAGCGGAAAATTTGCCTTGTCGATCATATCTTCCAAAATATTTTAAACATTAGAAAACGTGCCAAGGAACCATGTTACTCTTTTAACCCACCCATCAACCACTGGAGGTACGCTTTTGCAAATATGCTAATATATTTTCCAGTATATGCAACTCTAACTTGTACACCGAGTCACAGGGGAGTGATTGTACGTGATAGAAGGGTCAGTTCCCTTTAATATGCACAGGTAAGACTTGCCCTAGATTTTGACCCACTCGCGTCAGGCTAACCCTAACCTGTATAACTAAATGGAGGGTGGACTCTGTTGCACGCGCCCTGCTTCGTCACACCGGTTCTAAATTAAGAGAAAATAAAAAAAAAATGAAAAATTTATAAAGATAAATTGAAAAAGAAAGGCTGAGAAGACCTTACCGTTAGGAAACTTGCAATGTCCGAGGATATCCCTCCCAGGAATTCAGAGGGAGAGCCCAAACTAGGACGAGTTGGAATGCCAAGACAGTCCGTCGCCCTAACGTTGCAGTCGTCGTTGGTTATGCAGAGAGAACCAGAAACTGAAACATTTCACAGAAATTTTAAATATATATATATATATATATATATATATATATATATATATATATATATATATATATACTAAAATCTATCTGGATTAAACAGAACTTTTTTTTTTTGTAAGATGGTGTAAATACAAAAGAAAGATATAGGGTATACCATATCCATGTAACATAAGATTAGGTCACAACCATCATGTCAAATTGTGCTTGCATTATAGAAATAAGAAAGAAAAGCGATGATGACAACGAAAGCAACACAATAACTTGATAAATGTGCATTTTACACCAATAATAATAGTAATAATAATAAAAGCTTAGAAATAATTTGCTTTTTTATATTTCCCTTTGCTCTGAATCCATGTTTTACGTTTAATAATAATAATAATAATAATAATAATAATAATTACTTGGAAAACACGCCGACACCGCCGTGGATGCTCTGCTAACATAAGAGAAAGGGAATATGAACGGGTACGACCCCAGTGGGCACATACAACGGTATCCAGAGGTCGTGAAGAAGAGGAAGAACGGATTGAACGTACAGATTGGAGACACCGTGTCTGCCACGCTGCATAGCGTCTCTGTGCTTAGATTCTTATAAGCGTTCGCTACAGTGCACTCGGAGAATAGAGTATTACCTGGAAAGTAAAATAATTATTACACGAGGAAGGTTTACATTTGTCATGAATTGCTAAGAGAAAATAACTTCCACTCAATCCCATTTCTTCATAAATTTACATTTAATTACACGATTTTTTACGCTTTTTTATCGTTTATCTACCTCTTGATAAATGAGATAAAGAGTGTATTCCCTAATATTCTTAATATCATATAATATAACAGCAATTTATATTCTTACGTGATGCATTCCACTAAGATTTCGAAACGTCTTACAAGTTAGGCGTCATTATCAAAAAAAAAAAAAAATACAAAAAAAAATAGTTGTACATAATTCCGTCCGTTAATAATCATAGAAACTGATTAAAACGCTGCAGTGGCGACCAACATGCATGAAATGTTTATTAACTGCGATAAAAAGATTAATATATATTTCCAGATGCTGATTGAGAAAGATAAGTGGCGCCAGTGGACTTACTGCAGACATTATCTCAATCTGCTCGGGTCGTAAATTTTTTCACAACTCAATCGAAGTAACGAGGTCTAATTAAAACGTTTTGATATTTATGTCCATATCATGAATAATAACTTTCAATTTCCAAATTAAGGGATCTTGCCGTTATTTTTACAGACATTACAAATGTTTTCAAAAACTTTATTGTGAAATTTTCGAATCGTATAATGCTTATCCATTACACTTTCGTTACGGACTTCTAAAATTCTCAATCTTATTTATTCTTTAATGCCAAGGGGACGTTTAAAGTCCGTTGAATTCTTGTGCGGAGCTAAAACCAATGCCCATTAATTAACATGTACCTGTTAACAGAAATATCAACGAAGAGACCAACCTTACTACAGACCATATTAACCCCTTAAAACTCACTTGTGGTGAATTCAGCACAGGCCCCAGCATTGCAGTAGTAGACCACAGTGACATCCAAGGTATTGCGACCATTGAAGCTGCACATCACACTAGCTATTGGCTAGAATAAGTAAAAAGAAAAAATAATAGACAGCATAAGACATTTTTCTAAAAGAATGGCTGGTTTAGCTGTTTCTACTTTACGAGTGCCAAATGGTAATGTGATTTTACAAGATACAATGTACCACTGATTGTGCTTAGTTTCGATGTAACAGGAATGGAAGTCCGCTAGGAACCGTAGTCCCATTCCCATTACTTTGTACAGGGGGACATTTGTCCCATATACTAACCCCAATACTCCAATTAACCCTGACCTGTACTAATCATACATGTATGTTAGTCCCGACTTCCATTCCTAGGACTACCATTCCTGTCAAACCGGAGTTAACACTTAAGAAGATACTTACCGTCAGCACCCCACTAGCAATGTCTGAAGTGATCCCGGTAACGCCGAGACAGTCCGTCGCACTGGGATTGCAATCGGCGTTCGTTCTACAGGTGGCTAGAAAAGTAGAACGTCTTTTGCATTTTGTACGAACAAGGTCGCGATTTTGCACGTATGAGTACGTATGGATGCGTGCTTACATGCGTTAATGTGTGTGTGTGTGTGTGTGTGTGTGTGTGTGTATGTGTGTGTAAAGGAGGGAAATACCGCGGTAATTGAACTGAATTGAATTGAAAAGAAAAGACCTATTGTTTATTATCAGGTAGCATCAAATACGATAATATGAAACAGAGATGATTTTTTTTATTAACGATTGGCTTCAGTCCTATGGACCGAAAAACATTTTAAAATGAAAGCTGGAAGAGTTACATAGATTTAAAGTACTCTCCATTACGTGGCTAATCAAGGGTGCGTTATCTACTCATCACCCATTCAGTTCTTAATAATTCCTCCTAAAGGTGGACATCACTTACGTCAAAATGCCCTAAATGTGTCAAAAGAGCCTTTCCCTTTTCTTTTATGTAAGACAATTATCTAGATTTTAGTGAAATAAAACAGAACATACAGAAAAAAATTCGCTTTTTCGGCGTTATATTCACCACCCCTTACAGGGGTATATAAATAGATTTTAGACTTAAAAATATAAAAACTTACGTGTCTCACAGAGTGTCCCGGTGAAGGACGGTGTGCAGATGCACGTGAACTGACCGTCCATACTACTACACGTTCCATTATTTAAGCAGGGTGAGTCCAACAAGCAGGGGTCATCTGCAACAAAATACTATATTATCTTATATGGTAAAAACATTGTGATAAATGATATATGCATAAAACGTTTTCAGGTTACGGGGAAAACAGGCCTGCTGGGATGATCCAGATCGTGTGGTTATGAGAAGAGAGGTCAAAACGTGTATACTAGATGAATTGAATTCAATCAGTATTGTCACCCGTTTTAAAACCATCTTGAATTCGTGCCACATATTACATATACATAGTATGAGAAAATATGTTAGTAGACGGTCCCAAGTGACTGATTTCTGTTGCTTTTCAATGATTTTCTGATCGATGCACCATAAAATATGAGCAGTATTTAAGTCACTTGTTCCCACAAGATCGCGTGTTATTTCGCGCCACTGGTCTCGATCTGTATCTGTTGATACCGGTGTGAAAGGATTGGTTATAGAAACCGTAGTCCATTCCTCCTTTACTTTGTACAGGTGACAATGGTCCCATATACAGTGCCGCCGGAATCTCCCCTTACTTACCCTCCGGGTCGCTGCGGGTTGTACGGACGGCCTGGCTCGGTAACTATGGAAATAACATTGTCATCCATACGCTGTTTGGTTTCTGTTAACAATAGTCCCATACCCTGCCCGTCGGGCAATTATCGTGACAAACTTTCTGCTAACAAAAGAGCCTAACCCTAGCTCGCTGAGATAAAGATCGAAGGTGAGCGTGGTCGCAATTAAGTGTTCGTCCAAGAGTTAATTGACCTTTAATGCGCGGTGGCTTCACTCTACTTTGATCACTCTACTCAGATACGGAGATTTTAAGTATAAGAACTTGCCAACAGTGATTTTTAAAAGTCGCTTTACCAAAAAGATTCGGTGATGACAGCAATTTTCGTGTACATTGTACTATGAATTGATTAAATTTACATAGAGTTTAATAAATGAATTTATGAATTTATTAAAGATCAAATAAAACACTACTTGTACATGTAATATTTATTAGGCTTCAAACTGTCTTTCCTATATACATGTTATTAACAAGATTGAAATTTATTTTTATAGTATGTCCTTATATATCTATTAGTTTTGTTCATAGACGAAATGCATTTTTTCCAAAAAGACTTGTCAGTTGTTTCAGTGATAAACATTTTGTTAGCCATATCTTTAATATAGTTCAGTCTATATTTGCATATAGGATCTCTCTCATCTACACCCGTAACATTTCTGTCCTTTCGTATTCGTTCATCAATCGTAAACAACCTTCCCATCAACTGAACGCAAAAGTTGCCTGGGGAACTGGCCCGTTGTCGAATTTCGAATATTTCTTTATTTGACAAGGCGACGGGTGGCCGGCCGAAAGACTGATTCCTTGATTCTGTAGGACACAAAGTAGGAACTGTTTCTCTATCATTGTTTGATATGTAATTCAAAACGATAGGAATAGTTCATCTTTACGATCTAAAGCCCAAACTTAACCAAAAGCCTTCTTCATACTTAAACGCATCAAAAGAAATTAATTTAAAAAACTGGATTACAATCTCTCGGGCTAACTTCACTGGTTGGCACGTGTCATCTCACATTAATTAACAATCAGTTCAGGTTAGCTTTATTCATGCTGGGTAAACACAGTAATTAAGCCCTGACTATTACATAATCACTACTGTGTGACACGCGTCGTCTAAAATTAATGTTAACATTGCGATGACGCTCTTCAATCCAAACTAATCAATTGCACATAATTCTAAATCAACTGACACGTGTCAACAGGATTGTTTGTGTATCTGGACTTCCTAAATGGCCAATAAGTATTTTGTTTAATATGACCTGTTTATGTCACTGATTTCCATGCCATCGTGTCACCTGCCAAGTGAACGGTATAAATCGACACTCAAATTTTCCAAATCATCACAATTCCAAGATGCCTCTTAGCGATTACGTGCGTCTGCGTATCATCGCCCTCCGAGAACAAGGGGTGCGAATTAAAAACATAACCGCACAAATGGAAAATGAAGGCCATAAAGTGTCGCGACAAGCCATTTACTATGCGTTAAAGAAATACGACGAAGGGCTTGGTATTGCAGATAAGCCACGAAGTGGACGTCCCTCAAAGGTTGACCTGCGCCACATGAACGTTATAGACGAGGAGATGACCATATTAACGCAGAAAAGTGTATTATACAGTAATAAATATATAAATCACCTAAAGAAGATGATTCCAGCGGTACTTGAGAGAGAAGGTCGTGCATCAGGCTACTAAACTAGCAACACATGTAATAAAGGTAATGAGACATTGATATTTATTTGATGTATTAGCTATTTAAAATTTTCCATTTTAACTACGCTTTTGTTGATCGTGACTTATTATCATCAAATAAAATTGTTATACAGAGTACGTGTTTTAAAACTAAGCCTGATTTGTTCTTCAGAGTTTTGTTCTAATATTTGACTTGCCTTTACTCGAGTCTTCTGTTGCAGTTGACACATAACCCGGTATTGTTTGCTCGTGTCGATAGCAATCTCTTTGCATCAGCTATAATAGAAACTTTAAGTGAGGCAATTAAGAAGGGGCAGACCGTGTTCATTGAACCGACTAATTTGGGTGTCCGATAAGGATTTCTTGGGGATTCCCCTACCCTGTAATTATCATACGGACTCTATTGTTCGACCATATGGGGCAGGGTTGGGAAACCATACGGCCATTTGGTAAGGGGACATTCCGGCGGCACTGTACTACCTCGACTAACTCGAACCTGTACTAATCAATATGGGACTACGGACTTCCATTCCAAGGACTACCATTACCATTCCTGTCACACCGGTAACTGGTTCCAGTCACCAGGCTCTACATCGAGTGCAAACCATTAATATCGAACCATGAATCTTACCTACAACTTGCAGTGTATCACACTGGAAGGGCCCGGGACAACTAGAGATGAAAATAAATGAGTATCATTTCTTTTATTATCACAGTTTTCTGACATATAAATGCATATAAAATCAGTTACACCTATAAGAGCAAGCAGTGTCTAAACGGGTAACAAATACGTAAGATTTTACTACTTATGGTTTTTTCATGTTTTTAATGCTGTTTTAAATGCTAAGACCAATTAATGGTTTCGATTATTTCACAAAAACGATTTGTCGGGACTCGGACGTTTTATGGCAACTGTTCTCAAGAGTCGATGTATATAAGTACTGTTCTGGGGGAAATGTTCATTTCATTATGTTATTCTTTTTTAATCTACGATATTCACTGTTGACATGAGTTCAGGAGAAGCACGTTTTTGTGGAGGAAAAAACCTTGCACACTCGAGGCATTTCTGGTGGAACAGTCCAAATGACATCTTTCACTGTAAAGTTAACTTTGATTTAACCTACGCTGCGTTACATTGAGCATACCAGTATCTGACGAATACTACATGTAGGTGCAAGTGATTTTATCTGACGAATATACATGTACTAGTATCACAAAACATTGACAATCACCTATTGCCATTTTTTAACAACGACCACGGTTAAAGACTGTAACACTTCTTTTACATCTAAACAGCTACACGTTTTTTTTTTACATACCCATTACTGTTTGTGGCTTCATAACATAGCTGGACCGCACCGAGCTGCGCAGTGGTCGGTGTCCAGGTCAAATTGACATAGGAAGTGGTGCCATCTATCGGAACTATTGGACCCACATTTGCGCCTACTGGTGGGATGACCTTGATGGTACTTATTCTACCTTGGCAAAAAAAAGTTGAAGTTATAAATAGAAGTATATGGCAATGGATTTTGAATGCATATGAATATGGTTATGGCAGCAAAGTTAATTCGAGTTTGCATTGGGAAAGGAATGCGTTGGATCATCACCACACACTTACAGCGGCTCATTACAATCAAAAAGTGTTCGCTGGTGAATCAATATTAAAATCTGGAATTGAGTTAGCCTGGTGATGTGAAAACATTTATAGAAATAAATAATTAAACTAAGTGCGACAAGTACCTAGTATCGCTCTTTAAAACAAAAGTAATGAAGGTGTGACAATATTCAATATTCCAAAGCAACATTTAAAAGCAATAGTGTTTACATGTGCTCATACATAAACGTAGCTGATATAATAAGGGCCAAATATCTATATACATACCCGTTCGGGGAAGTTGCCGAAATGTTTATCGCGTAAAGCTGTTCTGGACTTATGAATTCACTCACTGGAAGGTTTGTAAAAGATGGCCGGCTGTTGCAATCGCAACCATCCTTTACTCGAGCAATATACTGAAATGTTCACCAGGTGATTACGACAGGTGTCATTTATTTTTATTATCATTTTCACAAGTGTACAAACAGTTTTTTCCGACCCCTTCCCCCTTTCAGAGATACATGGTGAAAATCTAAAAAATGTTTATCTTAGTCAGCCCACCCCTGTGGGTGAAGATAACCATTTTTATCATTTTTCTAAAAGCGTCATCATAGTTAACTAGCCCTCATTTTCTATTTCATTCATGTTTCAGAGCCCTTCCCTTTTTAGCAATTGCCTGGGTCACATAAATTAGTAGGTGTAAGGTAACTTAAACATAAAAAGAGAAATTACGCATCTTCAAATACGTACTGCAGCTGGGTAAAAGCAGCATCCCTGTGAATATTGCTTTATGAAGCTCTAAAAATGTATCGTATTTTAGCTGATCATCAATTTATTCATTTATTTGCTTGTTTCAATTTTTCATTCACCAATTTATCAGGCTTACCTGTAATGGTACCTTTGACAGGGGAGTCGATCCATCTTTCGGCACGCCCCCCTGTGTTATACTGGATGTCGGGAAATCCTCCAGCATTACTGCTACGCCATATAGACCGTTACCGTACAGAGGACGGGCAGAAGCCGGGATTACTAGAGTACAGTTCTGAAATGAAGTGAAAAATGCACAGTTTGAAATAACTTTTCATTGCAGACTGAGAGATAGTGTAAAGTCTGTGTCTTTTACGCTTTTCTGCTTTTTGTATAATTAAGGAATGACTACATTAAAATCACTGTAAAACCAAGTTTTTAAACGTGATAAAAGAAATCGCCTTACTCGGTGACGATTTCCGTTTATCAAAGAAAATTGAATCAGTGTGCCTGTGATATGCACGCGTAGTCGCATTAATGTGTGTATGAGATTGTGAGAGTGAGGGTGAAAGAGAGGCAGAGAGAAAAAGTGAACATATGTGTGTGTATGAGAGAGAGAGAGAGAGAGAGAGTAAGAGAAAGAGAGTTCACGTACTGGGTACAAAGTGGCCCCTGGAAGTCTGCTACATATACCACCACACTCAAAGCCCGTTCCCCAGCGACATCGCACAGTATCTCCGTCTGCATCCGCGTACGGGATCTCAAATCGATATCCGCATAAAATATCCATGCTAATAAAAATGACGATAATGATAAGAATTATGAATTGTTTGAGCCAATATGTTAAATATACATTAAACAGGGGACGCTGTTTAGACTTAGACCTGTTGACGTAATGACATGTTAGTAAAAGATACGCATTTTTGGCGATGTATTTCAACAAAAAAAAAAAAAAATTGAATATGTTGAATATGTGAAATTTGATGCATTACACATGATTGGATTTTGACCAAATTCATTATAACACATAGAGTTACCTACTTTGTTTATTCCAATAATTATATCTATCAATTATTTGTACCTTTATATAAATAACAATTACCACAGCGGCCATCTTGGGATGTGTCCGTTTCCATGGTTACGTGACAACTGGCCATTTCTCCATCATGCCAAGAAATGACCAGCAAGGCCAGTGCGTTCGGATGGTGTAGGCGCTATAATTTGGGTTTGTGTATAGGGGAAGTACTATTCCCCATATATAAATGTATCTCCTTTCGAGGGAATGCCGCTCAATTACAAAAAGCTTAACTGACGTGCTTATTAACATACTGGTACGTTTATATCAAAACTTAGACGTTTTTCTCCGTTCGCAGGTTGTTCAGACACACTTACTCAATAAGTGGCTTGCTTGTGGTTATGGGACTGGAGTTGGGTGTTCCCGTGTCGCTTCGAATGCCGGCATTATATTCGGTATAGACGGCCCAGCTTCCCCCTCCATAGACCAACGTTACCCAGCAACAGCCTACGTATCTGACGGCGTAAATATACACATTATGAGAAACTTAAATACACACTTTGGGGGTATTCAGAACAACTTGATCTGTTGGTCCGCGGATCAACTTTGGTCGTGAATGCTGTCTTACTTGTTTTATTTAGCGAACAAAATTGGAATAATTTCATTGGCTATGAATAACTTATTTTTCTTCCATACCATCTGTCCAATCGGAAAACACAGATGGTGTGAAAGAACATTTGGGCGAAAGTGTGGTGTTAGGGTATTGACCTGGCTATATGGTAATAGTTATAGTAATAATTGTGAATGACAATTCCGAGCGCCATGCGACTGCTTGACTAATATCCTTCTCAGGGAGATAAAAACTATCCGTCACAGAACACGGACCCATCATTTGAAAAATTGATTATTAGGTTTTAAATATATAACAGAAATTTCATCGTACAATCCAACTGTTCTGAGTAGCAATAAATATCCCAGTATATATGTTTACATACATGAACGTATTATTATTATTATTATTATTATTATTATTAATATTATTATTATAGATAAGAAGATAAAGACTTACCCAAACGCAAACACCCCGGCATTTGGCAGATTAAATGTAAAGTCATTGTATCCCTGTTGCCAAAAGTCGTCCCTGTCAATGGCGGTGAGGTAGTATCGATGTGGGGCAATGATTTGTGCGAATCCGCAGCCTAAAGTAAAAGAAGATCCGGTGTAACGAAACTGAGGGCCCATATGACAGAAAGTCCACCCTCCATATAGTTACAATGGTCAGGGTTAGTCTGACCTAAGTGGGTCAAAATCTAGGGAGAGGCTGACCTGTACGTACAAATGAATGGGAGGCGGACTCTCTATCATGGGGGACTCTTTGTAACGTTACACCGGCATAGTTACTTAAAGTTGTCATGTTTTGTTTAGAATAATAATTCTTGATATGCAAGCTAGCGATATTTCAAAACCACTTGCCCACCCTAAAAACTTTATTATTTTAAGTTCATTCGAACATTAGAAGAAAACAGCCCAAATTTAAAGCAGAAGCAATGAGGTTGCTATAAGGGACGAATGTCACCTGTACAAAGTAATGGGGACCGGACTACGGTTCCTAGCGGACTACCATTCCTGTCACACCTGGCCCTGTAGCATTACTAACCTAAGAAACACTGCCAGAACCCCAGGAGCCCAGTAGTGAGTTGTCCCACGTCTTCTTCTGTGCACGGGTTCCTGCATGGGCCGTCAGTTAATCTCCAGGCCGATCGCCAAGAACAGCGCGCCTTCGTAAGATAAGATAAGAGTTTATTAAGTCAATTATAAAAATCGAAAATCATTTTCCTTTTGGGGCAGGTTTGATAATAAACAGAGTAAAAGTAATACAATAGATACATTAAGAATTTGGTTTTGAGATCAATTTAAATTGCGGCACTGCACTTGGATTAAATCTGTTTAAAAAGCGTGTACTGCCTTTAAAAGTTAAGTCTATACTATTGCTTGGTAAAGACGTAAAAAGTGATGATGCTGGAAAAAACAAGGATGCAATGGAGAAAGTCTAAATTTAAAAAGCAATCCTACATGTTGTTGCTCAAAAGCTAATCACATTTTGTCATTACGGAATCAAGAACGTAGGTCTAACATCAAGGTATTAACAAGTAAACGTGAACGTGAGACGTCGCGTCACTGCAATGCGTTGACTGGCCATGGCCCCATAATAACTTCACAAGCCCGGGTAGTAAGGAGTCGTGCTCAGTCAATAAAAAAACATTAACGCCCGCCATAGAATTCAGTATCGATGTATTGACTCATTTCTAAAAACGAAAGTGGGCCACTGACCTGCAGTGCATTGCCCGGAGATGGTGCACAGCTGATTGTACCGAATCTGAAGTGTGATCCTGAAATGATGTTATTAAAATATAATTATTTAACGAATAGTGCACAACTGTCAAGGGACTGTGAAGAACACTGTCCAGTCAGAGGAAATAGGACCCCGACGCGAAGCAGACAGGGTTCACAGTCTGTTCACTACTGATTCATACGAGGAAATTGCAATCCTTTTGTTTCCGATATGCCGTGGGAAATAGTTTTGTCATGGAGAGACAATTTAACAACTATTTGCCGAGGACACATGCTTCATAGTACTTATACCCTATACGTCAACAATTGTGTTTTCCACAGCTGTCATATTTCACACAACGGCAATATTTTTTCACTTAGCCCTTGGACATTCGTTATCATGTCCAAGCATAGCCTAACGTTGCGCTGTATGGATGTGACGTTACATTTCATTATCTGCCAACTTCGTCTGCTTTCAGCGAAAAAAAAATCAGTGTAAATTTACCCTTTCTAAAAAACACTGGATCAATTTTAAGATCATTTATCATTTCACTTTTAAACAAACTTTTAACAACTAAAAAGGTCGGTTATATAGACCGAACGCTATGGCACAGTTAGAGCAGCAGCAAGAGCTGTTGGGTCAATAAAGTGTAAAATAACTACTCAGCAATATTTTTTTTAAATACCTTTCTATATTTTGGGTATACATACCGGTCCCCGGTCTGGGTAACAGGAACACTGTCATGGCGAGAAGGTACAATAGAAGTGACCACATCGTTCATCAATTCAAACCTAGAAGTATATATATTTGTGCATCTTTGAAGATCTACATTCAGTTGTAAAATACAATCCGAGCTTTTGGCCCCTGGCCTTTCTTCGGGGATTATGAACAAAAATCAGCGAAAAAAATCTTTGCGTTTATGATCCCTGCAAATGTCCAAGATCAAATGAAATGAATGTATTAAAAGGGGGGTCTTTTCCCTGGAAAAGGGGGGAGGCTCTTCCAACTCCCCTCCCCCCAAGTACGGGCCTGTCGCGCGCTGCCGGGCCTTTAATTTTTTGGTCGTTCTAAAAATACTGGATCAATTCTAAGATCATTTATCATTTCGCTTTTAAACAAATGACTAAAAAAGATCGGTTTATATAGACTGAACGCTATACATGTAGCACAAATAGAGCAGCAACAAGAGCTGTTGGGCCAATAATGTGTAAAATAACTACTCCCTGGTAAAAGGGGGGG